AAAGGGAAGCTTATAGTCAGATATTGCAAATAGCATAAAATTATCTTAACCATGGAAAACTAAAAATAAAGATTATGGTTGACTCACCTTCATTCAAATTCATAGCTTGTTCAAGTTCATCAGCATCAAGTTCTGCAAATGGATTTTCTTCATCCTCAAGTACCCACTCCTCAGTCATATCAATAGAGTCTATATCTATTGGATCATAGCTCAAAGGTTTCTTCTTATAAAAGTCCCTAGGTAGAGGAAAGATACTATTATTAAATTTTTAAAACAAGAATACATAAATATTATACATTTGCATTTAGAAAGGCAAATCAATAAGTGTACATACCTATGCTTAAGTCGCAAGTTATAAGAGACATATACCAAATTACCGAGTCTTTCATGTTCCATCCTGTTTCTTCGCTTGGTATGAATTCGTTCAAAAACACTCCAGTTTCGCTCACATCCCGAGGAAGCCGCAGTTTGACTGAGCAGTCGAATGGCTATCTTTTGCAACCTTGGAGTATTAAAGCCATACCATCCCCACCATATAGCTGTGAAATATGCAAGTAAAATTCAATTTGGTTAAATAGTCTTCACTGTCCAATCGAGTTGCATTCTGAATGGGGGAAATTGATTGGCGACAAACACTACAAAATGATCGGCAACTATAATTCACAAACTAAATAATTGATTCAAGAAAACATAAGCACCTGGGAAAGCTAGAAATTACTTGGTTGCATAGTTTTTGTAGACTGCAAAGAAGATTCACGCCCAAAACTTCCTGAGCGGTTCTCATATATTTTGAACTCATTCATCAAAGCTTGAGTTTCAAGACAAATTCTCTTGTTCTCCAGAACATTCAACAGAGCATTATGAAGTTGTCTGGATTTCACAAACTCAACAGAATAGAAGAAGGCAGGATTTAAGTAGTATGCAGCAATGAACAAATCTCGATTCAAATGCCTGTCCCATCTCTCTTCAATAATATCCATGTAAATCTTATGTTTCTCTTCATCATTACCAACCATCTTCTTGACTGCATTTGTCACCCTAATCATCCCTTCATATACATATCCCAAGGCTGGTTTGCTATCAGAGTCCACAATACGAAGAAGCTTAATTATTGGACCCACCAATTCCACAATAAACACACAATCATCCCAAAACTTCTGGTCCAAAATAGTAGTTTTCACTAATTTTCCAGCCTCTGTTTTTGAGAGTTTGTGATCTCTAAAGAACTCACTCACCACCAAAGCTTGCAAATGACCTTGCTGCTCAATCATACTATGTATAGTGATAAATGTAGTAGCAAAGCGAGTAGCTGCTGGTCTTACAATCTTCTTCCATTTAGGCCTCTTCCTCAACCAATTCAACATAGGAAGATGATTGTACATAAAAATAGTCACTCTAGATGCACGATGAGCAAGGTTATCTATTTCACCCATAGAACAAATATCTTTCAGCATCAAATTCAAAGCATGAGCAACACAAGGAGACCAGTAGATGTTACCATATTTGCTAGTTATCTTCCTCCCAGCTGCTACCATATTTGCTGCACTATCCGTCACCACATGCACCACATTTTCAGAACCAATCCAATCAATCACATCAGATAACATCATGGAGATGTTATTGGCATCCTTGACAATATCAGATGCATCAACAGATTTCACAAAACACATCCCAGCTGGGGAATAGACAAGAAAATTAATCAGACTTCTCTGCCTTTGGTCAGTCCAACCATCTGCCATCAATGTGCATCCAAATTCTTTCCAGTCACTTCTCAACTTTCCAACCAGCAACTCACACTCTTTCTTGCAATCACTCAACAAATTAACCCTTATATCATTATAAGAAGGTCCTTTGAACCCAGGATTCATGGCAGAAATAGCATCAATCATTGGCTGAAAGTAAGGAGACTGAATTGCATTGAAAGGAATGCATGCATCATAGAACCACTTAGCAACAACAAGATGCGCTCTTAAGGTAATTTCCTTACTAGCCAAGACACTTTTAAGTCCTGGTTGAGATCCAGGAGTTGTTCTTGGAGCAAAATGTTCATCAATCCTATCAACCGGCGGCCTTGAGACTTTGTTTCCAAAAAACGGTCTTTTCGAAGAAGAACGCGGAACAAGAGTTTCTACATCAATAGTTTCTTTTTCACCAATATCTTGTCCCTCTTCATAATTCTCACTAAAGGCCCTTTTTGCTGCTGCCTTTTGCTTCTTCTTATCCTCAAAGTCTTAAATATTTTTTTTGCATCTTCTCACAGATATCATGAGACACCTTCATGCATTTTTCTATATCTCCACCGACCCCAGCTAGGTGTTCTTTCATTCTATGAATCCCTCCCCCTTTGACAATCTTGCCACATTCAAGACAAGTAAAAACTTTTTTACCATCCAGCACTTGAAGATTAACATGTGCCCAAGCAGGATCATGTTTACCAGTTGGGTTTGATGTAGGAGCAACATCTGATGGTGGAATTTGAGATGGTTGGCTTTCCATCTCTCAATCTACAAAATGTACAAAAGCATACACCTAATAGGTTATGAAAATTATATGCAGTGCTATAAAAAAGCATTTAGAGTGGTATATAAGTGTATGTATGTATGTATTTAACTAATTATAAAGAATATAATGAACTCGGTCCTGTGATATACATACATAAATTGATAAATATAAACAAATAAACAATAAAAATTATTATACAAAGGTACAGTCCCCATTCATGGAGGAAGAAGACAAGAGCCAGTGCTCGATCCCCATAGCAAGTAGCAACCCTAATGACAATTGCTTCTATTTCTATAAAAGAAAAGCCTCATCTTTTATACACAAAAAAACGCAATGTAGAGAAGTATCACAAGTGTACGATATTAATATATAGTTTTATAAAAGAAAGAGAGATGATGACAAGCATCTCCATATTTGCACCCCACGTGATAAGCAACAGTACATCTGGGCCAAAAAAAAAAGCGAGATAGCTTGGAGTAACTACAACTGCACAGGTGATTGATCGGAGTGAAATACAAATAATACCTGTTTGTGGAGCAGCTGAGCAGTGCGATGGAAGTAGAATGACTGGACGAGTAGAGGGTTGGCCGACTGTAGCTAGAGAGGGGGGAAAAGGAGCAAGCGCTAGGGTACAGAAACAAGAAGAGAAAGTAGATACGTAAGTATTCTATTAGGATTTAGGGTTGTAACTTGAAAGTTTGTTTTGGGTCGGCGACGATTCAAGTTTCATATTTTTGTTTTCAAATTTTTTATTCTTGGAATAGCGGACCGTAGGACCACTTAGACCGGCCGGTTCCCCCGGTTCAGTTACAGAACGTCCAAAACCTGACGGCCCAATATTAGCCGTGTAACTACATGAGCCGACCCGCTATCAGTGTCGATTGGCGGTTCTTCCGGTCCGGTTCACCGGTCCGGCCCGGTTCTTACAACAAGGCTAACAAGTAACACCCATGATTGTCATATCGGTGGCATATCTCGGCCGGTGGAACGGGGTGCAATTGGTATCGATTACAAACCAATTGGAATGGCCCTTGCATACTGGTGATTTTTTTATCTTTTGTTAACATTTTTTAAGTGAATTTAATTGACAAAAAAATATTATTTCTTTCTTGAATTCAAAGTTAAATGTATATGTTATTTGTTGGTTTTAAGTTTGAATGTTAAGATGTTTATGTTTTTTGTTTGATTCAAGTATATTTTTGGATGTTCGCGTTAAATATTGAATTTAAATTTGAGTATTTTTTATTTTGTTTGGAATGTTGTATTTTATTTATATTAATGTAGATTTTAGAGAGATCGTCTTCAAATATGTTATTGTAATATATATGTCTAAAGTCATTCATTGTTAATGATTTTCCATTTCCTTACCTGTTTGCTAAACCGTTATGAACAGGCACAAACCGGTTGTACCACAGGTCAGGCAAATCACTTGCCAAACTAGTATAACGATACAAACCGATTTGACAACCTTGCTAACGCTAACTCCAGTCTTCAGCCAATAGGAACATTTCATTTTGACGACTTTTTATATTTAAGGGTTGACCATAATTAAACTTATTTTTAAAGGGAGGGACATGTTTGTTATTTTTTAAAATTATATGGGGAATTTGAGTTTGACATTGCTCGTTTATTTTGCATCCCGTCCTTAGCTGGCAACGACCAGAAGTTTCCTAAAACATACTAGAAAACTTATGGATCCATGTCAAATTAAACACCAATCCATTCTACTCTAACAACTAATCACCGTCCATCCAACCATTTTCACGTGGTTAAGAGATGGAGAAAGGTGGGTTGTCGCCATTTAATCTCACGTGAATGGACTCTTCCTACCCCATTAACAAATGACTCATCATGTCTAGGTTAGCCTGACTTATTAGCCTCCGCTTGACCCAACTAAGCCATCATCTCTCTCTACTCCACGTGTGACATTGTGAGAAAGGTAGCAAATCATCCCCCCCCCCACTCTTTATCCCATGTTAAGTAATAGATTATGTGCCTCTTGATTTACTTGATGGGTTGAGAGTTTACCTCCTAAAATGACACCGCACCTCCCCAAATTACAAGTGTTATTATGTACTCTCCACCCATTGACCCCTTCACTAACCCAAATCTCCACCAACTAACTCCATTACAAACTTGCCATCCCATGAAATGCCAACTACACGTGCATGCATGAGGTGATAATTAACAAAGTGATCTCCACCAATACATCCCACTTTATTTATTTTACTACACGTAGCTAATAGTGGGATGACACAAATTCATTTGCTCACACAATCAATCTCAAATTGCATAAACTCCTTCCATCAAAGTCATACCACACGCAGTCAAAGGAAAATGGTTCTATACACACCAGGTAAATATGACGATGATGTGGGTGCATGTTTGCACCCAATCAAGGTTAGTTATTTTTTAAACCTTTATTAAGGATATGCTACTCATGCCAGGAGCAGGAGGCGCCTATAAATAGGTCTCTATCCATCTCAAATCTAGAGAACTCACTTTCTCTAAACGAGATCCGAAAAGGGGAATCGCGATGAACTTTTTCTCGGAAAATCGGCAACTTGTGACCCCAAAACTTTTCTCTTTATTTCTAGAGCTAGCTCAATACGCCGCTCTCGGTTATTTCGAAGTAATGACTTGAACTTTGGAGAAGGTCCCGACCGACCACAACCAGCGGGTCCTTTTTTGCAGGTGTTCATCTCGAGAGTTGGAATACAACGACGATAAGAAGGTAGACTCTCTACGAACTCTACAATGTTCGAGGCCGACTACTTTAGCATGGCATCAACAATTGGCGCCTATTGTATGGCCCGGTGAGATTAATACCAACAAATTTCAAGTCCAGCCAGACAAGGTGGAAACATAGGATTCACAACCTGAAGTCGAGATCGGTCAAGGCTCAACTCCAAACCTCGAGCAAAATCTGACGCCCCAAAGGATTGAGGACCTCCAACTTCGGTCTGCAGTAGAGGCTCCCCAACCACCACCAATTCCTCTAACTAATTTCTACAGTAATGCAGGACTCCCCGGGTCCTTCAATGACCATAAAAATGGCGCACTAGCTTCAACTGAAGCAGTGGTTCGCGATGTTTTCCCTAGTTGTTCCTCACCTTGAAGAACTTCTTCCCGTAGAGACATTTTCTCAACCAAGTATCAATCGCCCCTTAGCTTTGGGCATTCTAAATGAGCCATACCCAGGAAATATACATATACCATACCTTCCGAAGTACAGTAGCACCACCGATCTAGAAGACCATATCAGATCCTTTGAGATTTTGATGTCGCTTATTGGTGCATCTGATGCCACCATGTGTAAAGTATTTCCCTCCACTCTTGGAGGAGATGCTCGTCGATGGTACTCTCAGCTTCGCAATGTATCATCTACAACTTCACCGAATTTTCTACTCTATTTTGGTGTAAGTTTTACACCCAAAAGCGATAGGCAGTGAGCATTAATTAGCTCATGAATACCAAGCAACATGAGGGTGAGGCTTTAAAATCCTATTATGTTAGGTACAACACCCTAGCCATAGGCGTCACCTCCCTCTCCGTTGAAGTAATTGTCAACACGCTGACACGAGGAGCAACAAATAGTCTTCTCCGGGCTTCCCTCATCAAGAAACCTCCTTGGAGTATGTTTGAACTACAAGAGCGGGTCATGAAGTACATCGGTCTAGAAGAAGCTTTACAAAATTCCTCCTACATTGTGCCAAAACGCAGGAGGGATTTGCCTCCACCGAGTCGAGAAACTTTACAACATCCCGCCAAATTTTGGATACATGTCCAAGCCTCAAAAAGATGACCACAGAAAAGATGGGTCATTTCATTCACGCCAAAATTTTACCTCACTCAACAATCCACAGAGGAATGTTCTCTAGGTCATTCAAGATAAAAAGCTTCTGGTGACATGACCTCTTCAATGTCGCACAAAACTAAGAAAAAGGAAGAACCAGTTTTATGAATTCCATCGAGGATATGGGCATGAAACCAAGGAATGAGAAAGATTGGGAGACTCCATCGAGGGACTTATTCAAAATGGACAACTTAAACATTTCATCCAAAACTCTAAAGGCCTAGTCCAACCACCTTCGTCATTGGGCAAAGGAAAAGCTACAAAAGAAAGCGAACTGGTGTTAGGTGTCGTACCAGTCATACATGAGGAGCTAGACTGCGGCAGGAATGTTTCACTTCTCGTAAGACCTATGCTTGAACTTTGGTTGGCTCTACCTCCACTATCTCATATCGGAATCCTATCTTTTCGATTCCCGATATCTCAAGGATATTAAATATCCCCATGATTACCCTCTGGTAATTGAGGCTACCATCGCCAACTACACTGTAAAATGAGTTCTCATTGACGGAGGGAGCTCAACCAACCTTCTTTTTTACTCCCGCTTTTTGCTTGTTGGGTCTTTGCATGGATCGTTGTCAACCTTTCAACGTGTTTCTTTTGGGTTTCTCTGGAAACCAAACCCCAGTGCTTGGAATTCTACCTCTTCATGTTCACATCGGCAATGGCGACCAAACAACCGAGATGTAGGTTAACTTTCATGTGGTTGAATTTTTCTTTGCATACAATGGAATTCTTGGAAGACTATTTCTACACCAAGCTCGGACCGTCGCTTCTACATTTCGTCTCAAATTGAAGTTCCCTACTTCGTCTAGTGTAGACTGTGTCCGAGGGGATCAAGCAATTGGCAGGCAATGTTATGCGTTTTTCCCTTAAGATAAGCATGTCACTACTGTTGACACTCGGGAAGAAGTAGCTCGTCTTGTGCCCATTGACCTTGACGAGGGACAAACTGTTCAAAATGGCCTTACTATTCGTCTCTCAACCGCCTGGCCTAAAGAAGCTCTTCCTCGGCTTTTCAACTTAGTCTGTGAGTTCAAGGAGCTACTTGCCCAAGGTCCTGAAGATATGCCTAGACTCGATTGTAAAGTAGCTGAGCATGCCCTAGGGACTCTCACAGGGTGTCATCCTATACAACAAAAGAGAAGAAACTTCGCATGGGAACGACGTCAAGATGTTGTAGAAGAAGTAGTTAAGGTTGCTCAGGTAGGATTCATATGAGAAATCCTCTACCCCACATGGCTCGCCAACATTGTCTGTCGTGGTGAAAAAAGTCAATGGGCATTGGAGGATGTGCATAGACTTCACCGACCTCAATAAGGCATGCCCAAAGGACCCATATCCTCTTCTCAAAATTGATTGATTGGTTGATACTACCTCTGGTCACCGTCTTCTTTCCTTATTTGAGATGTTCTCTGGTTATCACCAGATTCCCATGAAGAAGGAGATCAAGAAAAAATGGCGTTCATGACCCCGATTGGTAATTAGTGCTACAAGGTTATGCCTTTTGGCTTAAAGAATGCAGGAGCGACCTACCAACGAATGGTTTATCATATCTTCTCACGTCAACTTGGTTGAAACCTAGAAGCCTACGTTGATGATATCTTGGTAAAAAGTAGCAGTATCAACATGCATCTAGAAGACATCAGAAAAACATTCAACACTCTTCGCATATATGCTCTTCACCTCAACTCCAAGAAGTGCATTTTTGGTGCGACAGCTCGAAAGTTGTTGGGATTTATGGTAACCCAGCGAGGGATTGATGCCAACCCTCAAAAAATTGATGTCATCCTTCAAATGTCCTCCTCAACCAGAGGCAAAGAAGTAAAGATTCTCACAGGTCGCATTGTCGCACTCAATCGATTTATTTGTCGTGCCGACAATCGTTGAACCCTATTATTTGCCACTTTGAAGGTTGTCGCAAAACACTTTGAGTGGAAACCTGAGTGTGAAATTTTTTTTAATAATCTCAAGGACTTTCTGGTGACAACTCCAGTTCTTTCTGCCCCGATGAATAATGAAACTCTTTTTAAGTATTTTGTCGTGTCCCAGAAGGTGGTGAGATTGGTACTTCTTTGTTGAGATGTTGACAATATCGAACATCTGATATATTATACTCGTAAAACTCTAGTAGATGCGGAGACCAGGTATTCACCAGTAGAAAAGGCTGCTTTGCTGTGGTCGTTGCCTCTAAAAAGTTATGCACGTACTTTCAAAGTCACTCCATATGTTTTTTTTCACATAGTTGCCACTCTGAAAGCTAATCCAACACATCGACGTCGCAGGTCTGATGATCAATTGGGCCATCGAATTAAATGAGTATGATATCACACATACCTACCCCCGTAAAACAACCAAATCACAGGTCCTCGCTGACTTTGTGGTCGAGGGAATTCGTGCTACCACACCATCTGAGTCACAAACCCGGAGGCTATTTGTGGATGGATCTTCAAGCAAGTTTGGCTCTAGATCACGAATGCTTCTCATCAGTCCACTAAGTGTTGCCCATGAGGTGGTTGTTCGCTTCACAACACCAAGAACCAATAATGTCGCAGAATATGAAACTCTCATAGCTGGCTTAACAATGGCGTAATAATTAGGAATTCAAAGAATCTTGGTACACTCAGAATCTACCCTTGTTGTGAATCAAGTTCTGGGGGCATAGGAGGCTCGTGAACCCGTGCTAACTGCCTACGTCAATGTTTCTCGAGCCATTATGACTTAGGTTTTCACATGTTGAGATAAAACATGTATCACAAGAAGAAAATCTCCATGTAGATGCTCTCTCAAAGCTTGCCACAGCTTGATACTTTCCCGATGATAGAAATGTGATAGTTGAGCATCGCCCTACACTGTTATGCGCTCATATCATCTCATCATCAACACTACAAGATTGGCACACACCACTTATGGAGTATCTTCAACATAACCTTCTACCCACTAACCCAAAAGAAATCATGAAACTTGAAAGACGTGCTCTTCACTATTTCCTTATAGAGGGCGCACTCCACAAAAAAAGTTATGTTGGTCCATACTTTCGATGCCTTAGCGAATGGGAAGCCAACTTTGCCATTCGTGAAACTCATGACAGATCATGCGGAATGCACGCTGGTCCGCGAAGTCTCGAGAAAATCCTCCTCTGGCAGGGATACTACTGGCCCACTATGCACCGAGAAACGCGAGACTACGTCAAATCTTGTATCAAGTGCCAAGTTGTTGCCCAAGTACCACATGCTCCACCCTGGCCCATGCAAGGAAATATCAGTCCATGGTCATTTGCCTAATGGTTAATGGACTTCTTAAAGCCATTTCATGAGGCCTCGGGATGGAAAATGGCTCATTGTTACAATTGACTACTTCACCAAATGGGTAGAAGCTAGAGCCATCACTGGACTCACTGCTCAACAAGTTGAGAGATTGTGGGCAAAAATAATTTGTTGTTTCATTATTCCCCCCACCATCGTACTCGATCAAGGGACATAGTTCAATAGTGAGATTCTTCAAGCATATTGTGCATGATATGTCATCCTGCTCCGTTATGCCTCTATCGCCTATCCCCAATCTAACAGAAAAACAAACTCTGCCAACAAAACCATCCTTTAGGGACTGAAGACCTGATTGAATGAAGCAAAAGTAATGTAGGCGGAAGAACTTTCTCATGTTCTTTGGGCCCATTGCACAATCTATAAGACAACCATGGGAGATTCACCCTATGGCCTCACGTTTGGCATGGATGCTGTAATTTGAGTAGAAACATAGCTTTCCTCTTACCGAATTGAAGCTTTTATCCCTTAGGAAAATCAGCATGAGCTCATTCATGACCTCCATTTCATCGAAGAACGCTGAGAGGACGCTCTCTTCATAATGACATAGGTAACCCCCTACTACAATACCAAAGTGAAACAGTGACCGATACGCGAAGGCGAATGGGTTCTTCGTCGTAACTTTTATCATTAACAAAGTTTGGGAAATTTCAATCCACCATGGGTAGGACCCTATAGAGTATTGGCAGAAACGACACCGCATTTTCTACCAGCCTCTACGACAACATTTTGTTCTTCCAAGTCTCCAAGAAAGAAAAAATAACCAAACTTCTCATCTTCCTCAAGAAAAGCTTCTTCTTCATCCTCGAGACTGCTACAGAGTGGGCACCGCCTCTACAGAAACTCATGATGGCCTTCTCTAGGAGTCCTTAACAAACGGTCATCTTCCTCGAGTCTTCTATAAATTAGGTATTTGTTATTCATGAAAGAACTTGGTTGTCTGCAGCGAGTGTAAAGTAGAGAGCTTTCCTTCTGCATTGTGTCATTTGATTGCTTTAGTAGCTCTATCATAGAGTTTGTGAAGTGGGTGATTTGAGCTTTGGAAGTAGTCAGTTTGTTGTTTGTTTAAAAAGCCAATTCGATTGGCTCGGCTTAGGGTTCCTGTTTGTAAATTTACATTTCAATTATCATCAACAAAATGTTCTTTCTTTATGAGATACAAGCTCCAGAAAAGCTGCATTAGAGTGAGAGTTTAAAATTTTTTCAAAACCGAGTCTTTCTTCCGTTATGATTTAACAATTGGTATCAGAGTAGACTCTTTAAGGGATTAGCGATCACTAAAGAGGACCAATTAGGGATGACTGGATCCTCATCTGCATCAGCTTCATACTCTGCAAGTACAAACCCACCATGGTTCGATGGGACGGATTACACTGTCTAGAAGAATAGGATGAGGATCTATCTTCGTGGCGTCGATGGTGACCTATGGGCAATAGTCCGTAAAGGGCCCTATTCCCATGGATGACGAAGATGAAGAGAAATGGGAAGACGAGCACAAACTCTCGTCTCAACTGGATTCGAAGGCGATGCATATCTTATTTTCAGCTCTTTGCCATGAAGAAAGGAGTCAAGTGGATCAGTGTGAGACTGCCAAGAAAATCTGGGAGTCTCTTCAGACTATCCACAAAGTTACGTCAGAAGTAAAGGAAAGTAGAATAGATGTTCTTCTAAATGAATATGAATCCTTTGAAATGAGCGCTGGAGAATCTATTTCTAGCATGTATAAAAGGTTTAATGATCTGATTAACAGACTAAAAGGCTTAGGTAAAACATTTACTACTAAGGATCTTGTTAGAAATATACTTCGAAGCCTTCCTAGAGAGTGGTTGCCTAAAAGGACAACAATAAAGGAAGCTAAGGATCTAAATGTCTTATCCATTGAAAGACTAGTTGGTTCTCTACTAAGTCATGAAGAAGTAGTTGTTCAAATGAACAAGGAAGATAATAGACGAAAGAAGGTTATTGTATTTAAAGCACAAGACTCGATAGTGAGTCTAAATATGACATGGGTGAGGAATTTGAAAAGGAATTTGCACTAGTCAGTAGGAAATTCCATCGAATATTGAAAAATGAAAAGAGATTTTCAAGACAGAAAAGCCTACATCGAGTCAAGGCAATTTAATCGGTCATTTGAATCGAGAAGGGATAGAGAAGGAACTGAAAGATTTCCTACTCAACAAGCTGATAGAAATAACTTTATTAGACTCTATGTTGAAAAAAATTACTTTAGGACAACAGAAAAACCAAATGAAGGATTATTGTGGAACTTTCTCTCTTTTTTTTCTTCTCTCTAAAATCCTCTAATCTGCTCTGACCTAGCTATAGTGGCTTCGCCTCCCGGCGCAGCCTCTCCGACTGTGTCTTGGGCTTCTCTTTTCTCTGTTGATCCTGCCAACAGGCTGACTTTTCGCCCACCAGAGCGGAAAGAGAATGGATTTCGTCTCCCTCGCGAGGTTAAGATGCAAGGTGAGGAGAGGTGGAAGGATAGTTTGATTGCTCAGTTTGTTGGTCTCATGCCAAAGCTGGTGGCTCTACAGCAGTGGGCGATGAAGCTCTGGGGGCGTGATGGCGTCTTCAGAGTATCAAAGTTGGGACCTCACCTGATGGTCTTTCAGTTCCATTATGGGGCAATAAGTAAGTGGGTTTTTCGCTCTGGTCCTTGGCATTTCCAGGGGAACCCTATGTTTTTTCGAAAATGGTCGCCGGGTATTCAACTGGTAACTCAAACTGTGGAAACTTTTCCAATTTGGGTTCATATCTAGGGGATTCCGCTTGAATATCACTCGTTTGAGGGCCATGAGTGGATTGCTAGCACTTTGGGGCCTCTGCTTTGGATGGATCAATCAACTAGGGTAGGGGGCCAATTAGGGTTTGCTAAGGTCTGCTTGGATTTAGCAGCCGACTGAGGTTTTCCTTCGAGGGTACGATTATATCTAGATGATGATCCCTCATTTGAGGTGGAAGTCGAATATCTTAACCGTCCTGTGGTCTGCAACAGATGTGAGACTTTTGGCCATGACTGTGTCTGGTTGGCTAAGCAAGGTAAGAAATGGGTTCCTCGAATGAAGGCTGAAGTTTCTGAGGAAGGCAGGGCTACAGAGATGGTTAAGGATAAGCAGGCTGCTGAGGGTCAGACTACTATTAATCTGGATATTGTGTGCTGGTGACAGATGAAGCTAATTCTTCTAGGGTTCAAGCAGGGGAGTCTAATCAGTTGGGTGCAGATTCTGTGCCCCAGGTAAATGCTAGTCCAAGCAATGTTTCAGGTAAGACAGTGGCCAGCTCTTCTGAGGTTCGAGAAGGGGATGTTGATTCTCTCTCCAATCCTGAGTCACTAGGGAATCCTTCTGAGAGGGTTGGGAAGGAGGTGTAGGATCATCAGCAGTAGCTGGTAGTCCTGTACCTCTTTCTCATCAATATGCTAGCTCTGGCTCATGAGGTGATCCCGGGAAGTTAGTGCAGCAGATAACTCCTGAAGGACAGGAGAAGAATCCATGGATTACTGTGCAGAGCTCTAAGAAGAAGGCTTTTGTTCATTATGTTGACCCTGCTAGGAAAGGGGGTAGGGGAGGAAAGAAAAGATGAAGTTTCTGGTTTGGAATATGAGGGGGTATAAGGATAGTGATAAAAATAAAGTTGTACAACAGCTGGTAAATAGAAAAAATATAGATATAGTAGCTATACTGGAGGTCTGGAACCAAGAATAAGGGGTAAAGAAAATGAGGATCTTGCAAAAAGGTTTGCTAACTGGGAGAGTTCAGTTTCCAGGAATGATAAGGGCTTGGGGAAAATCTGGCTTCTATGGAAAAAGGATATTAATCGTCGAATAATAGATAAGTCTGATCAATTTATTCACGTGTTGGTCTAAACTGGTGTCCCTTTCTTTGCATCATTTGTGTATGCTTCAAATGAGGAAGTGGGCAGGCGAGTATTATATGATGACTTACTTAAGTATAAGGTTTCTCAGTTTCCTTGGGTAGTTTTGGGGGATTTCAACGCCATAGTTGACCCTAGTGAAGCCTCATCCAGATTTCACTGGTAGTATGGAAGATTTCAAGGGTTGGCAGCAGCATGTTGAGTTGATTGATCATAAATCCTCTGGTTCATGGTTCACTTGGACAAACAAACAGTCTAATAATCCTATTGCTAAGAGGCTAGATAGGGTCTTGGTTAACCTTGATTGGTTGGATAAACTCTCCAATAGTACTGTTGAACTTCTGGATCCATCAGTGTCTGACCACTATCCAATTTTGCTAGACTCTGATAGCTGTCTTAAGTCCATTCCTTAAGCCTTTCAAGCTCTTCAAGTTCTGGATTTCCCATCCTAAGTTCTTTGATCTTGTTAGGTTAGCCTGGGAGTCAGAAGTTGAAGGTTCCCCTCTTTCTCGTGTTTGCAAGAAGTTAAGAATTCTGAAGAAGTTACTAAAAACTCTTAACAGAGAAGAGTACTCTGATCTTAGGGAGAGGGTATAGTTGAAGTCAATTGAAGTTCAGTATTCGCAGGCTGAAGCCCTGTCTAGTCCTAGTAGTGAGACTTTTGAAAAGGAGAAAGAGCTCTGTAATGAACTCAGATAGTTAAAGTTGGACGAGGAATCTTTTATGCGTCAAAAGTCTAGAGAAATCTGGCTACATGTTGGGGATTCAAATTCTGCCTACTTTCATAGGTCTATAAAGGTTCACCAGTTAAGAAATACCATCAGATCATTACTGGACTCAGAAGGAAAGAGGGTTATAGATACTGACTCTATGAGTACTATAGCTGTCAACTTTTATAAAAACTTTTTGGGCAAGAAAGATGGGTTGGTCTTAGCTCAGTCTATTGATTTTTATAAGGGGTTACTAAAGAAGAAACTGAGTAGCTCCATTAGGAGGCTTTGTGCAGGCCAGTCACTGCAGAAGAGACTAAAAAGGTCATGTTTGGTTTTAAGGGAGATAAATGTCCTGGACTTGATGGGTATTCTGCTTGCTTCTTTAAAGCTACTTGGGACATTATAGGAGGGGAAATTATATCGGCTATTCAGTATTGTTTTGCTCATTCCTCTTTCCCTTCTGAGGTAAATTCTACTCTTATTGCTCTAGTTCCTAAGATAAAGAGTCCCGAGGAAATGAAATACTTTCGAACTATCTCCTATTGCAATATCTTGTATAAGTGTATTGCCAAAATCCTCTCTTCTCGACTTAGTGAGTGTCCACCTAGTGTAATTAGTGAGAATCAAACTGCTTTTGTTAAGATAGAGTGATTGGGGAAAACATATTGCTTGCTCATGAGATTATTCAAAAGTATACCTGGAAAAACATTTCTCCCTGAAGTATAATCAAAGTGGATCTTATGAAGACTTTTGACTCAGTGGACTGGAGTTTCTTGATGACTGTGCTTGAAGCTATGTGACTACTCCGAAATTGAGCATAGGATTTAATGGTGGGGTGGTAGGTTATTTTTCTGCTCAGAAAGGTCTTCGTCAAGGAGACCCTTTATCTCCCTATCTTTCACAGTGGCTATGGAAGTGTTCAGTTGTCTTATGAGTGCTGCAGTGACGGGGAATAAAATGCTTTTTCACCCAATGTGCAAGAGAATTGAATTGACCCATATCATGTTTGCTGATGATTTGTTGTTGTTCTCTGACGGGTCAAACTATGGAATTAAATGTATTCAAACGGTGCTTGAGAGATTCAGAGCGCTATCTGGCCTAATTTCTAACCTTGTTAAATGTGAATTATATTGTGGTGGTCTGTCCCCTGAATGGAAGAATAGCATGGCAGAAAGGGCAGGCTATAGACTAGGAGCTCTTCTTGTGAGATACTTGGGTATCCCTCTGATCCCAGGTAAGCTTTCTATTAAAGCTTGTCGTCCTTTAATAGAAAAAATTATGAGTAAAATTCAAAGCTGGGGAGCGAAGCTGCTAAGCTATGCTGGGAAACTGCAACTAGTTAGCTATGTACTGCTCAGTCTGGTACAGTTCTGGATGGTTGTCTTTATATTGCCTAAGCAAATTGTTAAAGAAATAGAGAAACTTTGCAGTGATTTTTTATGGGGTATTCATGTTGAGAGTAGAAGTAAAGCATCCATAGCATGAAGTGGGATTAGTTTGCCAAAACAGGAAGGAGGGCTGGGAATAAGAGACATTCTCAGCTGGAATCAAGCGTGTGTAGTAAGGCATATATGGGATCTTCTGATTAAGGATGGTTCCCTATGGGTAGCTTGGATGAGAGCATACAGACTGCACCATAATGACTTCTGGCTAGTGGAGAGTAACTCAGGGTCATGGCTCTGGAAAAAGATCCTCAAACTAAGAAGTAAGGTTCATAGGATCCTTGAAGTTAGGGGTAATGAAGGCTAATGGCAGGGGGCAATTTTTGAAGAAGTTTTCCATAAAAATGGCATGGGAATTATTCAGGCCTAGTGCTGCAGCATTATATTGGTTTAAGCTGATATGGAAGGAACCAGTAATTAGAAGTCATCAATTCCTCTGCTGGCAAATTGTGAAAGGGATTATCACTACTGGCGATAACGTCGTATTTGCACATGTTTGCACCCTTGTTTCTTAACCATTTTGGCTCATACTTGTGGTGTCCTGGCCTAATTTACGCTAGGTTGTGTTCCTTTGTCACATTTCAGGTCCTAGTATGTAAATTGAAGCAAAGGCTCAAGTTTCAAGTCAATCGGAATCCATTTGGCAATTCGGGAGAAGAAACAAGGGCATGACCTGAGGACTAATGGACTTTTACCTCATATTATGGAAAAATAAACATGGAAGTTTTTCATGAAAAGAAATAGGACGAGACGACGAGCATCTGGGATCAAACGGCGACTGATTCGGAGCCCGGACGAGGGAGAAACGAAGCATTAAACAGGAGCAAAGGAAGAAATACGGACATCCCCTGCCCAATTATGGGCGTAATTGCCTCTGCCCTGCCCGTAAATGCAATGCCGAGCTAAAACCCTGAGAATGCCTTCGAAGATCAAATTACGGGCACGAGCAAAATGAACTGCGGTCGTAATTCCACAAATACTGGCAGTAATTGGGTAATTACGACCGTAATTCCCCTCATCAGAGTTAAGTGAAACACGCATTTTGGGCGAAATACGGGCAGACCTTGTTTACGACCGTAATTCAGCCCGTATTTCGCCTAGAATCGGGTTTTTGAGGCAGATTCGAGACAAAGGAGAGGGAGTCAACTTTTTTGGAGCAAAAACAGAGTTTTAGAGAGAGAAAGTGCGAAGAACAAACCCTATGAGCTATTTGGAGTGAATTTCTCACCATTGAAGCCCAGATTGCATCCCTAGGAGTGAAGATCATCATCCCGGAGCAGATTATCCTCATCTTTATGAGTATGACTACTCTGATTTCTGTTTTCTTCTCTCTCTCTTTATGAAGTAGAACTTTCTCTCACTTGGGTATGAAGAACCCTAGTTCCATTTGTTAGGGATCTTGATTGTAATGACTTGGGATTGTTATACTGATTGATTTTAATCGATTGATGCATGATTCATTGAGTCAATCAAAGCCTGATCATCTTTTCTTGATTTCTGCTGCAACCTGAGATAGATAGAATCTGATTAGGTTGTTAGAGCTTCATCAATCGGTAGTGGTAGATTGGTTATACGAGAGTTAATCGATTTACTGCTTTGCATTGCAATTCAATAAAATTAGTGGAGTTCTGCGTTCATAGCCTCAGCTTTCTATCCCGGTGAAGATTAGTCGTCTGCCAGGTAGTCGGACTGAGAGGGCTTGGTCAGCTTAAGAGATTCCAAGCTACTGTCGGATCTTCCGCAGTTTAATCAACAGTTAATCAACCCAGGGTAATTACAACTGTGGCCTAACTAAGGAGCTAGGGGGACTCATTCCCGAGTGACTCGTCCCTTGCTTTAGAAAACCGAATCATTTCCTGCTTTCTTACTGCTTTTGCTTAAAATCACAATCACTCGACTTAGTTTGCTAGATAATAGATAATCACGGAGTAGGAAGTAGGTCTAGACCCCGGGTTGAGAAATAGAACTTGCCACTATTCTGCATTTCTAGACTGCGATTACACTTGGTCACAGTTTGGTGTCGTGTTTTAGCGTGCCAAGTTTTTGGCGCCGTTGCCGGGGACTTCTAGGTTATTGTAGAAACGTGAAAGCTTGTTAATCTAGCTTTTTCTTTACTGCATTCTTTCTCTTCCCCTTTTGTGCCTTCACAGGTTGTGTTTGTATTCTGTGTGCAGGTAGTGCATGACCCGTAACCATTCGGGAGATTTACTACCATTAGATCAAGAGCTTGAACGGACTTGTAGGAACTTCAAGCGGGCGTTAAAGGCATGACTAGCTGCGGAGGAAGCTTTAGAACAGATGCAAATCGCCGAGGAAGAAGAGATGGGTGACCCACAGGACCATGATGTGGTCCTTCCCAAGTAGCAGACCATGAGGTATTACTGGACCGCCAGAGCCGCGGACATGAGGTCGCCCATTCAGCACCCTCATGTTACAGCGAAAAACTTTGAGGTGAGCACCTCTCTCATCACCATGTTGCGCGGTTCGGTGGTATTCTGTGGCAAGGAGGGGGAGTGCCCCCGATCACACCTGAGGCGATTCCACGAGCTCATCGATGGGATCAAGATCAATGGGGTCCCAGCCGATGCAATCCAGCTGAGGTACTTCCTATTTACTCTGGAGGGGCAAGCCAAGGAGTGGCTAGACACTCGACCCCCAGGCTTGATCACCACGTTCGCCAACCTGGCGGACAAGTTCCTCACCCGCTACCATCCTACGTCCAAGACGGCGGACCTGCAGAAGCAAATTACCCACTTTGCTCAAGACAAAGATGAGACCATTCGGGATGCTTGGGAGAGATACACCAGTCTCTTCCTCAAGTGTCCCAACCATGGTTTTACTGACGCCTTCAAGGTGAGCACTTTCTACCATGCCATCTTCCCGGAAGACAAGCAGCTGATTGACTCGGTCTGCGGCGGGAATATGCTCACTAAGACACTACCACAACTGAATCAACTTTTTGAAGAGATGGCAGAGCATAGCTATGATTGGGGAACTACGAGGAGATCGAGACGAGCACCAGGGCGGGGTGTGCATGCTGTAGACACCCACTCTTTTGATTTGGTGCAAGTTGTGTCTAAACTTGTCTCAGCCATCGATCTGAATGGGATGGTTCCGGGGACAGGGCAGCAGCAGGCGATGCATTGTCAGTGGTGCGAGAGCACCCACCATACTTTGGAAGACTGCCAGGCCATGCTTGAGTCCAGTACACCCCAGGAGCAGGTGAACTTCGTCAACAATGTCAGGCGCAACGATCCTTACAGTAATACCTACAACAAGGGATGGCGCCAGCATCCAAATTTCTCCTAGACTGGCAACAAAAATCCAAAGCCACCTATCTTCCAGGATCCTGTAACTAGTTTTCCAAACCAGAGGTAGCCATACCAGCCTCGCCCGGGCCAGATGCAGAAGTACCAGCAGCCTGGTGCATCCCCATCAGTCCTAGCACCGGGCGATCCCGTGTTAGAACTGAGGGATCTAGTGACAACCTTGGTGAGCACTAGTACCCAAAAGTTCAATAAAGTGGAGCAATTCATGGAAATGGCTGCAGGCAAATTCATGGAGATTGAGGCTGGCTAGAGAAACCAACAGGCACTATTGCAGGATATGGACACCAAGATCGGGCACCTGGCAGATGCCCTTGCTTCCAGACTGGCTGGAACGCTTCCTGGACAACCCCTTCCAAACCCCAGAAATCATAAGGAGGGGTTGCATGCCATTATGTTAAGAAGTGGGACTATGACTGCGGATGCACCGCAGAAGAGTGCCAAGAAGGTGACCCAAATCACCCCAGAGCCGGAAGAAGACCTGGTGATGGAAAAAGAGACAGAGGCTCAAGGTCCAAAGCCACAACCAGTAGTGGCTGTATATAAGCCTAAGCTCCCTTTTCCGACCAGGATGTACAAAGACAGGCTGGAGGCAGAGTTCGACAACTTCTCGTCCATGCTTAGGAAGTTGCATTTCCAAGTTCCCTTCATGGAGGCACTATCTCTGATGCCTAAGTACGCGAAGTTCCTGAAGGAGCTTCTCTCGAAGAAGCGTAGGCTGAGCGAGCTGGCCACTATGGAGCTCAGCGAGGAGTGCTCGGCCATTCTGCAGAACAAGCTTTCGCAGAAGCAAAAGGGCCCAGGTAGTTTTACTATCCCATGCTCTATATGTAAATTGCATGTAGAGAGGTCCTTGGCGGATCGAGGTGCTAGTATTAATGTGATACCATATAAATTGTTCAAGAAACTAGGCCTAGGTGAACCCAGTGCAACTAGGATGAGTATTCAACTAGCTGACCAATTTATAGTGCATCCTAGGGGCATAGTGGAAGACCTTCTGGTTAAGGTTGACAGATTCTTTTATCATGTGGATTTTGTTGTCTTGGACATCAAAGAAGACGCAAAAGTGCCTCTTATACTGGGAAGGCCTTTCCTGGCCACCGCCAAGGCTCTCATAGATGTACATGATGGGACCTTAGTCTTGAGGGATGGGGAGGAGCGAATAACATTTTCCATTGCTAATACTGCCCCTGCTTCATCGCCTTTGCATGATGTTTCTCACCAGGAGCACGAGTCTGTCGTGTATCCTTCTGTGCTTCCCATTTTGCAGGACCCCCCTCCCATATCTTCGCCGCCACTCCCGTCCACTCCATTCCCAAAAGAAAAGATCAATAAGGAGTGGCGGTCGAAGCTGCATGTAGCCAAGCCTGCTCAAAAGAAAGCCGGAGACCACTATGAGCTAGTCCTGCCTCCTGAGCCACGACTGCCTTGCCATCCGAGTATTCACTCGCTTGCATCCTGTCGGATGGTCAGGTCGACTTGACAAGTGCTGGTGGTCACACCCGTCGTGTGCATGGCCACCATCTGAAGCTGTACCTCAAGAGCGATGTGGATCCGCTCTTGGAAGCACCTGTTCCTACGCCTCTCTGAGCATCCACCCTACTAGCGTCTATCTAAAAGGCGGTAAAGAAGCGCTGGTGGGGAGGCAACCCCACCACGGTTTGCATTTATGTCCTTTCTCCTTTTCACTTTTGTCGGTTTTTGAGTCTTTGAGTCTATCAAGAGTCTGTCTGGAATGCATTTCGTGCGCCGGATGGTCTGTTTTTGTCTATGGTGGTGTTTATTTTCGAGTCGGGGCACGAATGAGTTTGGTTGTCTGAAAATGCAGTTTAAAATTTTTGACAGGGGGCTCTCGGCAGTGCAACTACAGGCAAGGGGGACTCAATTACGGTCGTATTTCCTTATCCCTCTGCCCGTATTTCAGTCAGAAACAAGGGAGAAACCTCGGTAGTGTAATTACGGGCAGGATCAGACCAAATACGCTCGTAATTGTGCCCGTAATTGGTTCAGAGAGACTGGTTCGCCCTCCAGTCACCGTTCCTGATCACCATTTCACGGTAACATCGTTCCCCTTCCCTCTGCTCCATTGAGGGCAATGTCGAACTTAAGTGTGACTACGACGACCTATAATGATGACTGGGACGTGCAGTAGAATTGTGTAGGGGTTCAGTTTTTCAACTGTTTGCTTACCAACTGTGACTTGGATTTATCACTTGTTCTTGACAGTCATTTATGCATCTAGTTCATGGAATCAGAATGAGAGATAGAGCATATAGGTAGCCATGTGAGATTTGATCCTGCTCGTTTCTTTCTTGTGCGATAGATCCCTCTTCCATGATGTGTAGCACTCACGTTGTCACTAGCTAAGATGATGGAGGCATAAGATTAGCCCACGACCAAATTGATTGTCCTAGTGTGTCGTACCCCCTAGTCAGCCCCTTTGAGTCGTGTCACTTTCTTTCTTTCGGGTTATAATGGAAAATCACCCTTTTGCATCTCTTAGAAGGTTCCACGGAGTGGTTTTTGCATGTTCTCTACTGTTTCTGCTAAAATAATGTGAGGGTTGGAGGTAGTTCTTAAAAAAGTTGGGCATGTGTTTGAAAAATGTGCAAAGGTAGTGATTCTCTCAAGAAATGAAAAAAAAAGAAAAAAATGGATGAAAGCTAAAGAGAGCCACTACCAAAAATCTGAATCATGCTCATTAAGTAGTGTTTCTTAGCAGTCTGGCTTAGAAATACTAACATTATTGTGATGATACCCATTTATATGAACTCTAACATTTAGAGGCTGCCGTCATGGTGAAGAGACGTTAGGGATTGAGAGAATAAGTATGCGCATTTTTTACATCAAATTGTCCTGACCCCACTGGTCGAGAGTGAGTGATTCATTTCCTTGTTCTTTACACTCTTTACCCCGGTGAGGACCTAGATGGCTCGGTCTTGATTCTGATGTCTTGAGTTTTATGCATGAGTTGACTGTCTTGAATAAGTGGTTGAGTCAAGTCTAGGTTGGTTGGTGAACAAAAGGGAGACTCTTCCTATATCCGATTTTGCTGCACTCGAATGTCCTCTGTGGTGGTCGTCCAGGTTTCTGTTGAAGTTGTTCATGTGTTGATATCTAAAAGCAAGTATGATTCTCGTGTTTCGTGCCTATATGATATGTCCCCAAGGCTTGCATGATTGAAATGTGTTGAGCTTTCCTTGTATCTGACTTGGTTTGCTTGGGGACAAGCAAACAGTTAAGTGTGGGGGGATTTGATAGCCTCGTATTGGCACATGTTTGCACCCTTGTTTCTTAACCATTTTGCCTCAAACTTGTGGTGTCTTGGCCTATTTTATGCTAGATTGTGTTCCTTTGTCACATTTCAGGTCCTAGTATGTAAATTGAAGCAAAGGCGCAAGTTTCAAGTCAATCGGAATCCATTTGGCAATTCGGGAGAAGAAACACGGGCATGACCTGAGGAATAATGGACTTCTACCTCATATTATGGACAAATAAACATGGAAGTTTGTCATGAAAAGAAAGAGGACGAGACTACGAGCGTCTGGGATGAAACGGCGACTGATTCGGAGTCCGGACAAGGGAGAAACGAAGCATTAAACAAGAGCGGAGGAAGAAATATGGGCATCCCCTGCCCAATTACGGGCGTAATTGCCTCTGCCCTGCCCGTAAATGCAATGTCGAGCCAAAACCCTGAGAATGCCTTCGAAGATCAAATTACGGGCAAGATCAAAATGAACTACGGTCGTAATTCCACAAATACTGGCAGTAATTGGGTAATTACGACCGTAATTCCCCTCATCAGAGTTAAGTGAAACGCGCGTTTTGGGCGAAATATAGGCATACCTTGTTTACGACCGTAATTCAGCCCTTATTTTGCCCAGAATCGGGGTTTTGAGGCAGATTCGAGCCAAAGGAGAGGGAGTCCACTTTTTTGGAGCAAAAACAGAGTTTTAGAGAGAGAAAGTGCGAAGAACAAACCTTAGGAGCTATTTGGAGTGGATTTCTCACAATTGAAGCCCATATTGCATCCCCAGGAGTGAAGATCATCATCCCGGAGCAGATTATCCTCATCTTTATGAGTATGACTAGTACTACTTGGGTTTCTGTTTTCCTCTCTCTCTCTTTATGGAGTAGAACTTTCTCTCACTTGGGTATGAAGAACCCTAGTTCCATGTGTTAGGAATCTTGATTGTAATGACTTGGGATTGTTATATTGATTGATTTTAATCGATTGATGCATGATTCATTGAGTCAATTAAAGCATGATCATCTTTTCTTGATTTCTGCTGCAACCTGAGATAGATAGAATCTGATTAGGTTGTTAGATCTTCATCAATCGGTAGTGGTAGATTGGTTATACGAGAGTTAATTGATTTACTGCTTTGCATTGCAATTTAATTCCAGTAGTGGAGTTCTGCGTTCATAGCCTCAGCTTTCTATCCCAGTGAAGACTAGTCGTCTGCCGGGTAGTTGGACTGAGAGGGCTTTGTCAGGTTAAGAGATTCCAAGATACTGTCGGATCTTCCGCAGTTTAATCAACAGTTAATCAACCCAGGGTAATTACAACTGTGGCCTAACTAAGGAGCTAGGGGGACTCATTCCTGAGTGACTCATCCCTTGCTTTAGAAAATAGAATCATTTCCTGCTTTCTTACTGCTTTTGCTTAAAATCACAATCACTCGACTTAGTTTGCTAGATAATAGATAATCACGGAGTAGCCAGTAGATCTAGACCCCAGGTTGATAAATAGAACTTGCCACTATTCTGCATTTGTGGACTGCGATTACACCTGGTCGCAGTTTGTTGTTGTGTTTTAGCGTGCCAACTCGTGATAAGTTGTTGTCCTGGGGCTACCAAGGGGCTTTTAATTGTATTTTTTGCAGCTGCACTGTTGAGACTAGTGACTACTTGTTCTCGTAGTGCACTCGATACAAGGAAGTTTACTTGTGTTTCTTCAGCAAGTTCACTAGCAGGTCCCCTTCTACCAGTTGGGACTTAGAGCTTCAGTGGGCTGCTTCTTCCTTTTCTGACTCTGCACTTTGTGCAAAAGCTGGAAGACTTCTCTGGCAGATTCTGATTAGTGGTATATGGAGAGATAGATGTGCTCTTCGTCATGGTAAGAGGATCCCCCAGGTTGCTGAAGTGGTGAGGAAGGCCTAAGAGGATATTAACGTGTTGTGTTCCCCTTCTGAAGTTGCAGTCTTTATGTAATACAGTTTCTTTGTTTTCCCCCTTTTTCTTGGCTCTTTCAATTTATTCGATAGTAGATAGTTATTTGCTTCCTCTCTAGTCTGTTTTCTCCTAGTGGCTAGGGTTGTGGCCACATGTTTTACCCTCGGGTAGTTTTGATGAAATAGAAGCTCTACCATTCATAAAAAAACCAAATGAAGGACGAGAAAGGTTTAAGCAAGAAACTAAGGAAGACCAAAGGTCTTCGGTGAAAGAGATCTAACAATTTGCTTTAAGTGTGGCAAGACAAGACATATGAGGTCTAAGTGCCCTCTAAACTCCAAAGCTCAAGAAAAGGCCTTGGCTACCTCCTGGAGTGATTATAGCTTAGAAGAGGATATGGAAACAAAGAATCTTGCTTACATGGCATTTGCTTCCAAATGTGAAAGTGGCGATTCTTCTTCATTGAGTGATGATCAGGTTCTTCCATCAAGCTACCAGGTAATTTTTGATTCTGACTCTGATAATAGCACTAAGTTTAAGTCAAAATCAGACTTTTTGCATGTTTTAAAAAATCTTCTAGAGAAGTGTAAAAGATTTAAAAGTGGATATTGTTTGCTTATGACTGACAACCATGCCATGGCAAAGGAAATCATTGCCTTAAAAAGGGCAACAGTTGTCCAAAATGAATGTAAGGACCTACTGAATAAAGAAAATTTTGATCTAAAAAGGGAAAATCAAACTGAAACAAGCTTGTTATTATAGTCACTCGAAGGTAGGTATTGATCTTAATGTGACTAGCAAACCTATGTTAGGTAGAAGTTACCAAAAGAAAGCTTTAATGGGTCTACATATCATCAAAAGGGATTTTCTGGTAATAAAATCTAAAATTATCCTGTTATTTTCTTTTGCTCTCATTGTAAAAGACAAGGTCATTTAGCTAAATTCTGCTATGATTTACAAAGTATGAAGAAACCTGCCACTTTTAAGACATTTTGGGTATCAAAATGTGCTAATTTGTGACTGATTGCAGAACCTGGGAGAAAATGAAAATACTTGGTACCTGGACGAATGGACAGTGGGTGCTCCCACCACATGATAGGTAGGAAGGAACTGTTTTCATCCTTGAATTACAAGAAAGGATGTAAAGTAGTGTTTGGAGATGACATAATAGGAGTAATTATGGGAAATGGGATTGTTGGTAAAAATCCATTTCCTGAAGTAAAAGATGTTTTGTTTGTTAAAGGCTTAAAACATAACCTGCTTTTCTATTAGTCAACTCTGCAGTTCTGAAAACAGAGTTGTATTTGAAGCTTCTTCGTGTCAAGTTTTTAGAATTCGTGACAATAAATTGCTTTTCAGTGGGTCAAAGAGAAATAACATGTATGTTGTGAATTTAAACAATTTGAAAACTTTCAATGAAACCTGCTTTCAAGCTGTGTCCTATGACCTTGAACTATTATGGCATAGAAATTTAGGGCATGTATGTTTATCAAAGCTCTCCAAGCTATCTAGAATGGAATATGCTCATGGTATACCTCTTTTAAACTAGAATCCTAAATTCTTTTGTGATGCTTGTGTTAGTAGTAAATTAACCAAGAAAAGTTTTAAATCAAAAAGGATATTACTACTACTCAATCTATGAACTAATCCATATGGATCTCTTCGACCCAACGAATGTGGTAAGTCTTGGAGGTAAGTCCTATGCTCTTGTAATGGTATATGATTTCTCTCGATTTACATGGGCCTATCTTCTGGCTTCCAAGGATGAGGCATTTGGCATGTTTAGAAATTGTGTCAAGAGTATTGAATGAGTCAAAGAATGGCATTAAGTCAATACGAAGTGATAATGGAGGAGAGTTTATATCTGATCAATTTAGTGCCCTATGTGATGATAAGGGGATTAATCATACATTTTCAGCACCTAGAACACCACAACAAAATGGTGTAGTTGAAAAAAAGAATAGGATAATAATTGAAAAGGCTAGAACTATGCTTCTAGAGTATGGTTCACCTAAGTTTCTCTGGGGAGAAGTGTCATGACAGCTGTCTATACTATCAATCGAGTGATAATCAGAAAAACATTAAATAAGACACCCTATGAGATTCTGAAACAAAAGACCCCTAATCTTGGATACTTTCCTCCATTTGGATGTTTCCTCCATTTGGATGTAAGTGTTACATTTTAAATACCAAAGATCACCTGTATAAGTTTGATGCTAAGTTTGAAAATGTTATATTTCTTGGATATTCTACAAAAGGTCAAGCTTATAGTGTCTATAACTTGAAATCAAAGAGAGTTGAAGAATCCGTGTTTGTTAAATTTGATGACTCTTCTTGCTCTAAGAAAGTAAATGCAGAAAACATGGAGTTCATGTTTCCTGTTTCAAATGAAAGAAACAACCAGGAAAAGGAGCATGACTGACTCGCTAAAACACAACACCTAACAATGGCCAAGTGTAACCAATGGAAGGGACTGCAGTATAGTGGCTCAAGTGATAAATATCGAATCCACGGGTCTCTAGAGTTACTATTACTAAGCTTCAGTTTATTATTTAGCAAACCAAATTAATAAGGAAGAACTAAAACTACTCTAGCAAACTATAGTTAAAGTTAATCTAATTACAGGTTGGGAACTCACTTAGGTATGATTCCCCCTAGCCACTAGCCAGATTAACGATTGATGATTTCTAACTTGTTTCACTTTCATTCACAATGCGGAGAATCCTCGACTAGACCTTGAGTCTCGACTAAAGGAACAAGGCCCTCTTGAGTCAATTGCCTAGAGGGACGTATCCTTCTCTAGAACAACTGATCAAGGCGTTCTGAATTAGACTCCCTCTATCGAAAGAGGTTCTCAATCGATACAAAGCAGTGAATCAACCCTCGACTAAAGTAATCGATCCACTACTATCAATCTATGGTGCTCTATTGACCTAATCAGGTATTCCCTCTCATAGGATCAAAGCAGAATCAATAATCTCGACTAAAGCAGAATTGAATCATGAAAACATGCATAGATTGAATATGAACTCAAGATTATCAAGTCAGAGTACTCATACAATCATCCAATCAAACAAACATAGCTAGGGTTCCTCAAAACCTAAGTGAAGGGAAGTTACTCCATAGAGAAGAGAGAGACTGCAGTAAGAATCTTCAGATGATCAATCTTCAAGTCCGGGCTTGTTCCTCGAGCTTCCAAGGCAAAGAAATCCTCCAATTCCACTCTTAGAATGCCCTCAGATCGCCCTTTCTCTCTTTGGTTCGTCCCTTGGGTGTTTGGGATCCAAAACCCAGCTCTCCCTCTCCTTTGGCTCTAATTTGCGTTAAAAAACCTGATTCTGGGCAAAACACGGTCGAGGGCACAGCCGTGCTTTGCTTTTGACCGCCCGTGTTTTGCCCCGTGTTAAAAACACGCCCGCACGCGTTGGCCAAAACACGGTCGTGCCTAAATATGGGCACGGCCGTGTTTTGATTTAGGCGCGCCCGTGTTTTCACTGCCGAACCTGTTCCCCTATATTCAATGCTTCGTTTCTCCCTCGTCCGGACTCCGAATCAGTCGCCGTTTGATCCCACACGCTCGTAGTCTCGTCCTCTTTCTTTTAATGACAAGCTTGCATGATTCTTTGTCCATAAAGTGAGGTAGAAATCCATTCTTCTTCAGGTCATGCCCGAGTTTCTTCTCCCGACTCGCCAATTGATCTCTGATTGACTTGAAACTTGCGCCTATGCTTCACTTTAGGTGCTAGGACCGGAAATGTGACAAAGGAACACAACCTAGCATAAAATAGGCCAAAGACGCGATAATTAAAGCTCAAACGATCAAGAAACAAAGGGGAAAACATGTGAAAATATCGAGTCATCAAATCCCCCCACACTTAACCGTTTGCTTGTCCCCAAGCAAACCTAACTCAAACCAATGCAGCTCTCCAGACCTCTATAGCAACATGCACCCTCAATCCTTGATAGAGGATTTTCTAGATCATTTAGCAGCTTACGAGGTCAACCGACGCACAAGTCATCTCATAGCTTCTTCGGCGAGAACGCTAGTCTCGAGTCGGCATCATGGCAAATAGTGATCAGAGGAAAAATGAATCGTGGACGAAGAGACTCTCAAAAACAAAAGATCATGGACTCACATTTTTCAAGGTGCTCTTATTTTCTTTTTGAAGACGGTTGGAACCCCCTTTTTTTTCCTTTTCTTTTGTTCTCTTTTTTTTTCTTTCTTTTACAAGGGTTCCAACCCGATTTTCAGAAAATGGGGCTCCCACCTAGCAAAGGTTTTTCGGGAACCCGGCTGTTACCGGCCATGCCGGAAGCAAATGTCTCGAGCCTCGTGCGGGGAAAAGGAATGTAAGAGGGCTGGAGGTAGTAGGTGGAAATTGGGAACGAATTCCCGTCTCCCCTTACACACTTTCGCCCTATTCGCACGGGAGACGTTATTTTAAAGCACATTATCGAGCACCTTTTATTTCAAAACATGATACAGGAGTCCATGACAGGCATAGAGTCCACAACACCACACAATTCAAGGGTCCTAATATCACTAATTCACACAATCAACCAACACAATATGAAGAAGAAATGAGACTTCTTAAATGCATCAACATCCTCCATAGTGCTACACTACCTCCCTAGGTTGCATATTACTATAAAGACTGTCAATTCAAAGCATACTGAGCAGGCAATTGCAAGGAACAAGTACTTGGAGCCCTCAAATCGTAATTTGGACAGTGGACTAGGCTCCAAGCACACAAACAGCAAAACATTCACACGCATTCATAATCGAACATCCCCCCACACTTAAGCACGACATTGTCCTCAATGGAGGAAAGATAAGGAGGGTAGAACGAAGTTACCAGATCAAGGGTGAATGATGGTGGACGGGGCAGGCGGTGTATTCCCGGAGGAGAGAGTGGTCAGAACACAAACACAACACAGAATCTCACAAAGGTTGAGTTATTGACTCTAAAATCAAATAAAAAACTGACTCAACCGAGGAGAAAAAGAGAAAGAAATGCAAACCGACTGGTTGGGTTGCCTCCCAACAAGCGCTTCTTTCACGTCATGAGCCGGACGATGGCTCCTAAGTTTCGGTCCACCCCAAAACCTCCTTGAAGTTGAGGTTCTCGTCGATGAGGTGGAGTCTCAAGTCACGAGCATGTGGTGTGGCAGGTGATGAAGGCTCATGTACTTGATACAGATGAAGTCTCCACCCTCGAGACCTCTTCTTCTCTTCTCTCGTCTCGTTGCCCCAAACCAGATATGACAGCATCGATTGACCACCATCGCGTCCACCAAGAGGGACCGATGTTGATGTGACCTTGGTCTGGCAAAGAGACACTGCAAATGGGTCCTTGCTAAGCAATTCCTCGAAGTTTGGTGGAGATATCACATGTAACTCATGGCCGGTGCAAGCCTCTTCCACCTTAACTCCGTCCTCAGCCTGGACGCCAATTGCTTCTTCAACCTCCCTTCCTTCTTCATGTGGTATCACCCCTGGGAAATGATCAAGAACTCCTCTAGCTTCACTTTCGTCATCCTCTACAACTTCTTTCTGCACCCTTTCTTGCTCTTCTTCTTCTAGCACGGATTGGAGAGCAAGTTGCCAAGCAATTTCTTTCATGAGATCTTCTTGCTTCTCCTCACTCATGCCCGCCTCTTCAAAGCTCAGTTTGGGATATGGGAAGGTGTGGTCGGCTACGACAGGACACTCCGAATCATGATCATCACGGGAGCTCTCCGTGACAACTTTAGTGTGCTCCACAATGTCCTTGTAGCCTTCCTCTTCCTCCTCCTCTTCTTGTATGGTAGCAGAATTGTGATCTGGAGCAGGTTGTGCCAAAGATCGCTCAAGATCATCAACGCTCATCTTAAGGCTCAGGAGGATCTCATCTGTTTCACGATAGGCCTGGACACACTGATCCATCCTGGAGCATGTTCTCTCACAGTCTCGAGCAAACTGCTCCATGAGTAACTCCAGCGCCGATGGCCCTTCTGGTTGTGGGAGAAATTCTTCTTGATAATGAGGTTGTTCTGGATATGCCCAGGGGTCCGGTTGTTCTCCGTAGTAAGGGGTTTGGTACTGGAACCCGAATCCATAGTCTTCTCCTCCTTGATTGCTCCAGGGAGTCTCGGGGTAATACCACTCGGGTGGTGGTGGATACCCCCAATTGTTGGAGAAGCCAAGAGGATCCATGATTCAGATCTGCACCAACAAAAACAAAAACACCCAAGTGAAAAGCAAGGGTGGAAAAGAAAAGAAAAACGCTAAAGTAACAAACTTCTGCCTTTCCTAATACTCTAGAAAGTCCCCGGCAACGGCGCCAAAAACTTGACTCGCTAAAACACAACACCTAACAATGGCCAAGTGTAACCAATGGAAGGGACTGCAGTATAGTGGCTCAAGTGATAAATATCGAATCCACGGGTCTCTAGAGTTACTAGTACTCAGCTTCAGTTTATTATTTAGCAAACCAAATTAATAAGGAAGAACTAAAACTACTCTAGCAAACTATAGTTAAAGTTAATCTAATTACAGGTTGGGAACTCACTTAGGTATGATTCCCCCTAGCCACTAGCCAGATTAACGATTGATGATTTCTAACTTGTTTCACTTTCATTCACAATGCGGAGAATCCTCGACTAGACCTTGAGTCTCGACTAAAGGAACAAGGCCCTCTTGAGTCAATTGCCTAGAGGGACGTATCCTTCTCTAGAACAACTGATCAAGGCGTTCTGAATTAGACTCCCTCTATCGAAAGAGGTTCTCAATCGATACAAAGCAGTGAATCAACCCTCAACTAAAGTAATCGATCCACTACTATCAATCTATGGTGCTCTATTGACCTAATCAGGTATTCCCTCTCATAGGATCAAAGCAGAATCAATAATCTCGACTAAAGCGGAATTGAATCATGAAAACATGCATAGATTGAATATGAACTCAAGATTATCAAGTCAGAGTACTCATACAATCATCCAATCAAACAAACATAGCTAGGGTTCCTCAAAACCTAAGTGAAGGGAAGTTACTCCATAGAGAAGAGAGAGACTGCAGTAAGAATCTTCAGATGATCAATCTTCAAGTCCGGGCTTGTTCCTCGAGCTTCCAAGGCAAAGAAATCCTCCAATTTCACTCTTAGAATGCCCTCAGATCGCCCTTTCTCTCTTTGGTTCGTCCCTTGGGTGTTTGGGATCCAAAACCCAGCTCTCCCTCTCCTTTGGCTCTAATTTGCGTTAAAAAACCTGATTCTGGGCAAAACACGGTCGAGGGCACAGCCGTGCTTTGCTTTTGACCGCCCGTGTTTTGCCCCGTGTTAAAAACACGCCCGCACGCGTTGGCCAAAACACGGTCGTGCCTAAATATGGGCACGGCCGTGTTTTGATTTAGGCGCGCCCGTGTTTTCACTGCCTTACCTGTTCCCCTATATTCAATGCTTCGTTTCTCCCTCGTCCGGACTCCGAATCAGTCGCCGTTTGATCCCAGACGCTCGTAGTCTCGTCCTCTTTCTTTTAATGACAAGCTTGCATGATTCTTTGTCCATAAAGTGAGGTAGAAATCCATTCTTATTCAGGTCATGCCCGAGTTTCTTCTCCCGACTCGCCAATTGATCTCTGATTGACTTGAAACTTGCGCCTATGCTTCACTTTAGGTGCTAGGACCTGAAATGTGACAAAGGAACACAACCTAGCATAAAATAGGCCAAAGACGCGATAATTAAAGCTCAAACGATCAAGAAACAAAGGGGAAAACATGTGAAAATATCGAGTCATCAATGACCCATCAGAAGAAATAAAGAAAGACAAATATGCATCAGCTGAAGAGAAAATTGCTCTTGCACACATACAAAGGCGACACCCTGTATCTCATATTATTGGAAATCTGGATGACGGGATCCACACTCGAGGTAAGTATCGACCAGGTCGGTATGCCTTTGTCTCACTTCTAGAACCTAAGAATTACAAAGAGGCTTTGAATGATGATGAATGGTTATGTGCTATGCAAGAAGAGCTTGTACAATTTGCTAGATTGCATGTTTGGGAACTTGTACCTAGACCAATTAATAGGATGATTATAGGAACAAAGTGGGTATTTAGAAACAAAACAGACGAAGATGGACACATAACTAAAAATAAGGCTAGACTTGTAGCACAAGGTTACTCACAAGAAGAAGGAATAGATTTCGATGAAACATTTGCCCCTGTTGCTTGAATTGAATCTATTAAGCTCCTTTGTAGCTTATGCATGCTATATGAAAATACCTTCGTTTCAAATGGATGTGAAAAGCGCTTTCTTAAATGGTGAAATTAAGGAAGAATTTTATGTTAATCAACCGCCTGGTTTAGTTGATCATGAATTTCCCGATCATCTTTACAAACTGTCAAAAGCATTATACGGTCTAAAGCAAGCTCCTAGGGCTTGGATTGAAAAATTGTCTGCCTTCTTGATAAGTAAGGGGTTTTCTTAAGGCAATGTAGATAAAACGCTTTTTATCAAAAAGGAAAACTCTGACACTCTAATAGTACAAGTGTATGTTGATGACATTGTCTTTGGATCAACCAGTCATTCTATATGCACCAAGTTCTCTGAATCCATGAAGGCATAATTTGAGATGAGCATGATGGGTGAGCTTTCTCACTTTCTTGGATTACAGTTCAAGCAAACTAAATCAGGTATGTTCATAAGCCAAACGAATTACATTGAATCTATGTTAAAGAAGTTTAACATGGGGTCTGTGAATGCTTCCTCAACACCTATGGCTACTAATCTCAAACTAGACAAGGATGAAACTAGTATACCCTTCTGTGAGAAAAAATACAGAGGAATGATTGGATCTCTTCTTTATTTAACATCCAGTCGTCTAGATATTCAGTCTAGTGTAGGTCTATGTGCAAGGTTCCAATCTAAACCTAAAGAAAGCCATTTCAAAGCTGTAAAAACGAATATTTAGATATCTTAAGGGGACTACTAAAGTAGGGTTATGGTGTCCAATGACAGATTCATTTGATTTAGTTGGATATAGTGATTCGGACTTCGGAGGGAGTCTTGTCGATAGGAAAAGTACATAAGGGACTATACAATTTCTAGGACCTGCTCTCGTGTCCTGGTTTAGCAAAAAACAAGGAGCAATTGCTCTTTCTACTACTGAGGCTGAGTACATGGGAGCTGGAAGCTGTTGTGCTCAACTTATGTGGATGAAAGCTCAACTATCTGATCACGGTTTTAAATTTCAAAATATTCCTGTATGTTGTGATAACACAAGTGCAATTTGTATGGCAAAAAATCCAGTACAACATTCAAGAACCAAACACATAGAGATAAAATATCACTTTATAAGGGATCAAGTTCAAGCATGACATGTATGCTTACACTTAGTGTTTACTAAACTTCAACTGGTTGACTTATTTACAAAACCCCTCTCTAGTGAACGTTTCCTTCAGTTGTGTACTGAATTAAGCTTAAATTCTCTTGAGCAAATTAAAAATCTGAAAAGCTAAAACACTTATTGGTTCTCCTCCTCTAGGCATTTTTCTTCTCTTGGGTTGTGAAGTAAAGTAACTTCACGGCTCATGTTTGCCTCTTCCCAAGACAAACTTTATACATGCCACTATTTACTCATTATTATTATGCCCTGCGGGGTACTCTTCATCTTTCTCTACTATCTTTCTCTCCTCTGCTATATAAACCCTGTCTCGTTCTCATTTCTCCTCACTTCCCACAAACACCAAAACACTAACCAAAAACTCCAAACCTCTCAATCATGAGCGATCACCTACCCCGACCATTCCGCTTTGACAGACTGGTTTATACATTTCCTGGGTATGTGTTTCATGAGCTTGTGGTTATCAACAGACATCGCCACCTCCAGCACTTTAACGACAGACGGCGCCACCACATCACTCAACTTGACCCATACGAGTTTAACCTCTACAAATATGACATCATTTTCCTCGTAGAAGGAATAGGATGAGATATCCTTCTTCGTCAACCCCTCCATCCTACCTGTCCTGGTCATGAGAAATACTTCTACTCCAACCTTTGTGTCAGGGTGTGAGTACTCGAAGTTTCACCACTATTGTCTACTGACATCTCCTGACCATTCCTGCTGAAGCTTTAAATGGGATCCTTGGATTTCTATCTCAAGATCTTGATATCGCTCATCCATCTGAGTTTTGGAAGCAAGAGTTCAAGATCAACACTGAGTATGAAAACTTCTCAACAGAACCAACTGGAGGCTCTTATGTACCTATCCCTACAAGCCTGTTGCCACCTTGCTTAAGAATTTTTCATCACTTTCTCACTCATGTTTTCTTTCCTCGATCTTTTAATCTTGATCGAGTTCTTCCCTTAGATCTCTGGATAATCTCAAGTGCTACTGCCAGGCGCAAGCTCAACTACTCCTGCCTCATGTTTTCACACATGCTTCCTGTAGGAGATGAACATTATCAGGGTCATCTCCCTTTTGGTTCCATCATCACTCGACTGCTCATAAATTTAGGAGTATATATGTCTGATTTTCGCAGGGTGTCCTCTACAATGCATGTAAGCGCACTAAATGTGCTTATGGTTCTTGATCTCCCCTATGATACTCCTCCTCATCCTCTCCCTTTGCTTCTATCCTTGACCCTCGTCCTAAACCCTCCTCTTCCAAGAAGGCCAAGTCTGTTGTTGAGCCAAGTAACACTGGTGGTCTAGTGTTCATTGTGTCCGAAGGCAACTCATTTTCTAAAGACTCTGCTGTCTCTGCTCCTGCTTCTTAGCTGTGTTGTCTCTTAGGGGAATGGTCCCTTCTTAGTTTTATTTTAGCAGATGACCAAGTCATTTTGTAATGCTGTCCTGTAGATTAGGAGTATCATATGCTTAGGAGAACCTTCTTAGGTTCTCTTTACAGTCCCTTATGTTTGGACTTGCTTATTTTGTAATGTTGTCCTATAGATTAGGAGTAGCATATGCTTAGGAGGAACCTTCTTAGGTTATGTTTACAGTCCCTTAATTATGTTTGGACTTGCTTATTTTGTACCCCTGTCTATCTTCAGTTAATGCAAGTTTACTTTCCTTCGAGTGCTATGGTCTGCTGTTTGTGTTCTTTGTTTTCTAGGTTATTCCAGACTTGTTGAACAAAGGGGGAAATTGTTGGTAGAAACGACACCGCATTTTATACCATCCTCTACGATAGTGTTTCGTTCTTCCAAGTCTCCAAGAAAGAAACAAAATAACCAAACTTCTCATCTTCCTCGAGAAAAGCTTTTGCCTCATCCTTTCCGATCTCTCTCGACATCTCTCTCGAGTTTACTCCATCCTTCCTCGAGACTGCTACAGAGTGGGCACCGCCTCTACAGGAACTCATGATGACCTTCTTCGGGAGTCCTTAGCAAACAGTCATCTTCCTCGAGTCTTCTATAAATTAGGTATTTGTTCTTCATGAAAAAACTTGGCAGTCTGTAGCGAGTGTAAAGTAGAGAGCTTTCCTTTTGCATTGGGTCCTTTGATTGCTTCAGTAGCTCTATCATAGTGTTTGTGAACTGGGTGATTTGAGCTTGGAAAATAGTCAGTTTGTTGTTGTTTGTTTAAAGAGCCAATTCGATTTGCTCGGCTTAGGGTTCCTGTTTGAAAATTTATATTTCAATTATCATCAATAAAATGTTATTTCTTTATGAGATCGAAGCTCCAGAAAAACTTCATTAGACTGAGAGTTTAAATTTTTCCAAAATCAAGTCTTTCTTCCCATTCTGATTTAACATAGAGTAACTTTTTTTCAGTGACATCACAAGGGCTTGATGAGGAATTGCCCGATTCGCGCTCCCGCTGAAGCAATTATAGCAGCTCCGGCACCCATTCATTTTGGCGCAAAGTGGTGGGTCCAAACATTGTCAAGCTTTCTGATGCTAGTGGCAAAAACATTCCCCGCCCATGGTATGCCATGCATCTTCAAATGTACTTTACGCCATAATATGTACCGAGTATGCGCTAATACATAAATAGTATATGTCATAATATGTATTATGTGTTTGTTGCGACATTTACAAAAGCTTTGAAATAAAAAAGTGATACGTTGCCACCTAGTTTTCTTAAAAGCCGCTAAAATGTACAACGCAAAATACACGACTACATATTTATAACAAACTACTATATGTACATAGAGAAAATACACGAGTACATATCAATGGCGAACTACTATATATACATAGGTGATATACCTAAATACATATGCAGAGCAAGATACTACCTATACAGGAAAAAGTATGCTACCACTAAAAGCTACATTATCTCACATATGAGGATCGGTACCAAGGACTTCACCCATACTTACCCAGATGTTCTCGGTCGCCATCGCCAGCTTTGTCGGAACCGGGCTATCCATGGCAGCAAGAAAGGATCAGTCGCAAATTTTGTGCCAAACAGTGGTGTTGCATTAAAAGACTCAATCTCCATGGTGTTGTGTTGGATCACCGCCTCCCCGGATGAAACTGCGTCGACTTGGGCATTTGTCTCTCTCCGGATGCGTGCCTCGTCTGACTCAGCCTCTAGAAGTATATCGTGTGAACACTATCAAAGTACAACACCTCCTGAGGTTTCCTTCGATACCTGCCGCACTTGACATCGTAATTCTACTACCTCTGCACGAGCCTGGTCACGCTCTTCCATAAGAATTTCTTGCTCGGCCGCATGCTCTTCCTTAAGTAGTGTCATCTCCTGTAGCAACGCTACTTCAGAAGTTTTCTATATTTGAAGCCTCTTTGGAGTGACCGTAACTTGACTTTGAGCGTCCTGGAGGAGTGTCTGGAGCTTGTTGACAGGATCCCCGCACCTACTGCATTTCGTTCAACTGTCACAATCTCTTACATGGCTTTCACCACATGACTCTCTATCTCCGTGTCATAATGATTCATCTGCAGTAAATACTATGGTTAGATAATTCATTACAACATACATTATCTAAAAATAGTAAAATTAACTGCTTTTGCGATATCGCAAAGCAAAAGCGGCATCCTCGCCTTCAAGAGAAGGAAATTGACCTCTCATATCACACAAGGTATGGTAGTTCAAAATTGGTGGGACATCTATTTGTCCTCCACCCGAGGTGCCGGGATCACCTATAGGACGGGGCTCTGACCTCTGATATGTCCTCGCCATTTAGGGGTAGCTCTGCTCGCCCTCACCGCCTCACGGTTGGGACAACTTGAGCTACCAGCTTCGTAATTTCTTCTAAAGGTTGGCTCAGGCCTCTTGTATCTACGTGGAGAGAAACGATGCACTCGCTTGTTTTGACCACTAATCAATGTAGGTATTGTCGGTCCCACACTTTTTTATTTGTTTAATATAAAATGTACTTATCTACATTATAATTATCTATTTTGCTTCAATTTTTCATACATCACCATTATTTTTAAAACTTATTTTTATATATAATTTTTATATTTTGGACATTTTTTAAAAAGTAGACGTTACCTTGTATTTTTGTGTAGCATATGGAGATTTAATCGTACTGTAGTAGTGATCTTTGGTTGGTTGAGTCTCTATGACACAACTCCTAACAATGGCCAAGTGTAACCAATGAAAGGGACTGCAGTATAGTGGCTCAAGTAATAAATATCGAATCCACTGGTCTCTAGAGTTACTATTACTCAGCTTTAGTTCATTATCTAGCAAACCAAATTAAGATGGAAGAACTAAAACTACTCTAACAAACTACAGTTAAAGTTAATCTAATTACAGGTTGGGAATTCACTTAGGTATGATTCCCCCTAGCCACTAGCCAGATTAATGATTGATGATTTCTAAATTGTTTCACTTTCATTCACAATGCGGAGAATCCTTGACTAGACCTTGAATCTCGACTAAAGGATCAGGGCCCTCTTGGGTAGATTGCCTAGAGGGACGTATCCTTCTCTAGAACAACCGATCAAGGTGTTCTGAACTAGACTCCCTTTATCGAAAGAGGTTCAATCGATACAAAGCAGTGAATCAACCCTCGACTAAAGCAATTGATCCCAGACGCTCGTATTCTCATCCTCTTTCTTCTCATGACAAGCTTACATGATTCTATGGTCACAAACTGAGGTATAAATCCATTCTTCTTCAAGTCATACCCGAGTTTCTTTCCCCGAGTCGCCAATTGATCTCCGATTGACTTGAAACATGTGCCTATGCTTCACTTTATGTTCTAGGAGCTGAAATGTGACAAAGGAACACAACCTAGCATAAAATAGGCCAAAGAAGCGATAATGCAAGCTTAAACGATCAAGAAACAAAGGAAAAAACATGTGCAAATATCGAGTCATCAAATCCCCCCACACTTAACCGTTTGCTTGTCCCCAAGCAAACCTAACTCAAACCAATGCATCTCTCCAGACCTCTATAGTAAAATGCACCCTCGATCGTTGATAGAGGATTTTCTAGATCATTTAGCAGCTTACGAGGTCAACCGACGCACAAGTCATCCATAGCTTCTTCGGCGAGAACGCTAGTCTCGAGTCGGCATCATGGCAAATAGTGATCAGAGAACAAATGGACTCTCAAAAACAAAAGATCATGAATTCGCATTTTTAAGGTGCTCTATTTTCCTCTTGAAGATGGTTGGAACCCCTTTTCTTTCTTTTATACTTGTTTTTCTGTTTTCTTTTTCTTTTTCTTTTCAAGGGTTCCAACCTGTTTTTCAGAAAATGGGGGCTCCCACCTAGCAGAGGTTTAGCGGGAGCCCGACTCTTACCGGCTATGCCAGGAGCGAATGTCTCGAGCCTCGTGTGGGGAAAAGAAATGTAAGGGGACTGGAGGTAGTAGGTGGAAATTGGGAACGGATTCTTGTCTCCCCTTACATACTTTTGCCCTATTCGCATGGGAGACGTTATTTTAAAGCACATTTTCGAGCACCTTTTATTTCAAAACATGATACAGGAGTCCATGACAGGTAGAGAGTCCATAACACCACACAATTCAAGGGTCATAAGATCACTAATTCACACAATCAACCAACACAATATGAAGAAGAAATGAGACTTCTTAAATTCATCAACATCATCCATAGTGCTACACTACCTCCCTAGGTTGCACATTACTATAGAGATTGTCAATTCAAAGCATACTAAGCAGGCAACAACCCTCAAATCAAAATTTGGACAGTGGACTAGGCTCCAAGCACACACATACAGCCAAACATTCACACGCATACATAATCGAACATTCCCCCACACTTAAGCACGACATTGTCCTCAATGGAGGAAAGATAAGGAGGGTAGAACGAAGTTACCAGATCAAGGGTGAATGATGGTGGACGCCTGGACGGGGCAGGCGGTGCGTTCCAGAAGGAGAGAGTAGTCGAAACACAAACATCACACAAAATCTCACAAAGGTTGAGTTATTGACTCTAAAATCAAAGAACAAAACTGACTCAACCGAGGAGAAATAGAGAAAGAAATGCAAACCGACTTGTTGGTTGCCTCCCAACAAGCGCTTCTTTCACATCGTGAACCGGACAATGGCTCCTAAGTTTCGGTCCACCCCAGAACCTCTTTGAAGTTGAGGTTCTTGTCGATGAGGTTGAGTCTCAAGTCACGAACATGTGGTATGACAGGTGATGGAAGCTCGTGCACTTGATGCAGATGAAGTCTCCACCCTCGAGACCTCTTCTTCTCTTCTCTCGTCTCATTGCCCCAAACTAGATATGACAACATCGATTGACCACCATCGCGTCCACCAAGAGGGACCGATGTCGATGTGGCCTTGGTCTGGCAAAGAGACACTGCAAATGGGTCCTTGCTAAGCAGTTCCTCGAAGTTTGGTGGGGATATTACTTGCAACATAAGGCCGGTGCAAGCCTCTTCCACCTCAACTTCGTCCCCAGCCGGGACGCCAATTGCTTCTTCAACCCCCCTTCCTTCTTCAGAATTTAATTCCTTCCTTTGGAAAGATCAAGAACTTCCTCTAATTCACTTCCGTCATCCTCCACAACATCTTTCCTCATTCTTTCTCGATCTTCTTCTTCTAGCACGGATTGGAGAGCAAGTTGCCAAGCAATTTCTTTAATGAGATCATCTTGCATCTCCTTGCTCATGCCCACCTCTTCAAAGCTCGGTGTGGGATGTGGGAAGGTGTGGTCGGCTACAACAGGAAATTCTTGATCATGATCTTCACGGGAGCTCTCCGTGACAACTTCTGTTTGCTCCACAATGTCCTTGTAGCCTTCGTCTTCCTCCTCCTCTTCTAGTATGGTAGCAGAAACGTGATCTTGAGCAAGTTGTGCACAAACTTGCTCAACCCGCTCTTGCGAGTGCGTCTTGTGATTGCGTCTCTCGGTGTCCCGAGCAAATTGCTCCACGAGAAGCCTCAATTCATAGTTTGGATCTGGTCGTGGAGTGTAGCATGGTTCTGCAGAATGGCCCGTAAAGGATCAAGGCCCTCTTGGGTAGATTGCCTAGAGGGACGTATCCTTCTCTAGAACAACCGATCAAGGTGTTATGAACTAGACTCCCTCTATCGAAAGAGGTTCTCAATCGATACAAAGCAGTGAATCAACCCTCGACTAAAGCAATTGATCCCAGACGCTCGTAGTCTCGTCCTCTTTCTTCTCATGACAAGCTTACATGATTCTATGGTCACAAACTGAGGTAGAAATCCATTCTTCTTCAAGTCATACCCGAGTTTCTTTCCCCGAGTTGCCAATTGATCTCCGATTGACTTGAAACCTGCGCCTACCCTTCACTTTATGTGCTAGGACCTGAAATGTGACAATGGAACACAACCTAGCATAAAATAGGCCAAAGAAGCGATAATGCAAGCTTAAATGATCAAGAAACAAAGGGGAAAACATGTGCAAATATCGAGTCATCGTTGGTTCTCGTCAATTAAAGTTTGTTTTAAGAATTAGTCTTTGAATGTCAATTTCTTAAATATTAAACTAGGACCAGAAACACATACATACCCTGAAATTTTCAATCAAATATGGTAATCCAATCCAATAATAATCACAAAAGTACTGTTTTCAAAAGCGAAATTATGGTTAAACCAAAAATGAAAAAATAAATATGATTCCATAAACATCACGAACAGAATAATTATAAATATCAAATACCGCACGCATATCTAACCAAAAGACCCACCACAACCATCATCATCGCCTTCTTCATTTCCTTTGACTTGTGAGAGAAATTAGAAAAATAAAGAGCTCCAAGAAATCAAGCAATGGAGGCACCACTGAGAGATTGGCTAAGGAGGCTAATTGCGGTGTTTCTTTCAGTAGCAATAATATTGTTACTATTGCAAGTCGCGAAAGTGAATGGCAACACAGATACAGATGCTCTCATGACTCTCAAAATCGCTATGTCTTATCCCAACCAATGTCTCAAAGATTGGGATTCGAGCCTCGTCGATCCTTGCACTTGGCTTCGCATCACCTGCAACTCAGATAATCGTGTTATTCGAGTGTAAGTGTTACATTAATAACACTGTACTTAGGAGCATTATCAAAATTTTGGACGCGTGCCACATTCATACTTCTAAGCTTTAGGCCTAGATTTTATAATAAGAGGATTTTTACAATGCTCTTAATTACAACCCTAAGTATCATTATTCATTTTATAATAAAAATAAATTAATATAATTTTTATATATAAAAATTATATTGGTATTGTTAAGACTTAAGAACAAATTAAATTTGTACCACTTAGTAGTAATAATAATAATTAATATACTCTTTCCCTCTCCTTCTTGAAGTTATTTTAATTCCGTCATATTCATAATTTTAATAAATAAATTCATGTCTCCATGTATCCGTTTTGTAGGGACGTAGGCGGCTGTGGTTTGTCGGGAAAATTACCGTCGGGTCTAGCCGGATTGGACCAAGTGCAATATCTGTACGTGTTCAAATTGGTCTGAATTTAATTTTTGAAAAAACCTTTAATAATGATTCTTTGTTACTTTTCTTTGATCTCAATTTATAAATTAATAAGAATATTATTATTTTTATATTTTTACCTTATTTTCATGACTTGCAGGAATCTTTACGGCAATAAAATTTGGGAAAGTATTCCAGTAGGCTACGGCCACGGCTTCAAGAACCTTAAAGCCTTGGATTTGAGCTCCAATTCACTCCAGGGCATAATTCCAGCATCTTTGGGAAAATTACCGTCAATTGAATTTTTGTGAGTTTTTCATAAGTAAATAACAAGTATTCTTATTCTGCGTTCAATTTCGGTATAATGGTGTCAAAGTTAAACCCGATCGACCAATATCCTGTTCAATGTTCATCACGCTTATACATATATGTTATGCAACAAGGTTTTTTTTTTACCAATTAAGTCTGATTAATTGCAAAATGAAACTCTTTTCCATTAATTTTTTCTGTTTTTGTTTTCAGACGGCTGGAGCATAATCAATTAGGCGGATATATTCCAAGAGACCTTGGCCTGATCCCAACTCTTAAGCTTTTGTAAGTATTTCCTAATTAATAAATTGTAACCAGAATTCGGAAAATCATTATTCCAAATCCTTATATGATTGATTATTATTATTGTGTAAGTATGTATTCATTAGCGACGAGCTAGGTTGCTATTCGTTTCAAATTTGTTTTTTTTTTTAAGATAGTAGTTTCAACTTTAACATAGGTAAAATTACATCTAAAAATTTGTAATAAATATAGAATATAAAATAGTCTCTAACACTTTATAAATTTCCTTTTTCATCCAAATCAACCATTTTTTATTTAGATTTTTTTTGTTCCGTAACTAATACTAATCGATTTTAACCACTCGATCTTTGGCATTAACAGAAACATTTCATTCAACAAATTATGTGGAGATGTACCTCCCGAGGTTGCACACATTCCGGGAGCCGAGTGAGTCCTCACATCTTGCTTTGTTTTCGAGTATTATAAAATTTACTAATATTCTTGTTATTTTTGTTTTTAGTTTTTGAACATATTGATATGCTTGGCTTTTCGAATTTATTATTATACTTACCATTTTTATTTTTGTTGCAAATGCAGTTGGTCTAACAATCCTGGAATTGGCGAACCTTGTCAATGAAAATGAATACATAAATGAATGAACTGTTCCATTATTTTTTGTTATTTCAGTTTCGCTGGTGTTTCCGCAATGGATCTGTTATTGACACCCAATAAAAGGGGGGAAGACTCCAAGATCCTGATCATAATACCTAATCTAATCTTGCCGAGCAAAACCACGAACAGTTAGATGATTGATTGGAAAGAGCAGATACATAGGTTTTGCAGTCAGACTTAACATTGCACTCGATATTCAGTTTTTGTGTTGCTTCAAGAGCTTTTTGGAGAGTCGTTAAATAGAGGAAAAACAAATTACAATATAGTTTTGTCATCATCAAGTGTCGCTTTGGCCGAGTGGTTAAGGCGTGTGCCTGCTAAGTACATGGGGTTTCCCCGCGAGAGTTCGAATCTCTCAGGCGACGAACTTGAATTGTTTTTACTTTTTTCTCAAGGCTCTATCTGGCCGGACTCCTCTCCCGCTGCCGGTGGATTTCCCGGCCTCTTGTTTTTACCATTGCGCCCCGCCCCGGCCCTCTTCTTCTCTCGCTTCCTTATTTCCCCAGTTCGATTTCTTCTTCGCAATAGAAACGGAGAAAATGGCGACGAACCTCATGCCTCCTCCGCAGCCACCGTCACCGGGTACTGACATGACGGGGATGTGTTTCAGAGACCAGCTATGGCTCAACACATACCCTCTTCATCGTAACCTAATCTTCGATTACTATGGCTCAACACATACCCGCTTCCCCCGAATTCCCGTATCCCGTTTTGAAGCTGTTTAGCTTTTTAATTTTTGGTGGGTTTTGTGTTGCAGGACGATGACAGGGTTTCAGTACATGTTGAGCAAAGTGATGGAACCCCATTTGTTCTTGATGGGGAAGCAGCGGAGGGAGAGCCCTGAGATAGTCACTTCACTGCTCACCTATTACGTCTTGGATGGCTCCATTTACCAGGCTCCTCGCGTCTGTACTGTCTTTGCTGCTCCAGTTGTAAGCCCCTTCTCTTGCCCAGTTCATGATATCCATTCACAGTGCGTTGGATTCTGAGAACAAATTTGTGATTTAGTCTAGATTTGACTGGCAGCTAATGGTTCCAGGGGCGGGCTTTGTTATTACATATCCAAAGCTTTTACTGCTTCAGCAGCTTCCAAGTTGGAGAAGATTGGTTATGGTAATTGACTTTTCTCCTTATTGAAATGGTAATCTCGTTGTGCTTGTGCATTTAGAGGAGTGTGGCTTTGATGTTCATAATAATTTGAATGGAAAGAGAGATTTCGTATCAGGTGGTTGTGTAGATCGGTCTCGTGAATACTGAATGCAAGAATGTTTCGATCTATTGGGATCATCTGTTAGCTCAATGTTATGTCGTTATAGGCAAGAATATCACCATGCTTTTGGATTGTGTATTGACTTCTGCATATCCTTCACTCTGCATATTTCAATGTAATGTGATTGGTAGGTGATGGATGGGCTGTGATACATTCTCTAATGCTTCCAGTCAAGCTTTGGCTAGCACTTGTAAGTTGTAACCTGATTCTTTTGTTGCGCTGCTGGATATATGCGTAAAGTGCATGGTTGTGCAATCCTTGTTGCTTCCTTGTTTTGGACAACTGAGTGTCATTTTCGTGAGCACGTTGGTAGTTTATTTTCCTCGTTAAGTGTAGACCATGAGACTTGTACCAACTCTTGTCTTCGTTGATCGCCATGAATGGCACTATCCCTACTGATAGCAATTAGCAACATCACATGTTGTTGACGCAGTTGAAACTGAGGGCAAGGAGGAACCTTCTGACTCAAAGACTGGCAAAGATAAAATTGACTTCAAGGAAGTGGAGAGAATAGACCATCTTCTTGCTTCCTTACAACCCAAGGTGAATTTCGTGACAGGTGGTTCATCCATCGAAGATCGTTTAAACCATAAATGGTCGATTGTATCAAGGTAAATTTTGTTCCAGGCTCTCTCGTTTCTTGCAGTTACTATACCTGCTCCTCCACCGCCACCATTCCCAGAAGGCTATGTGCCCCCTGCGAGTGGTGAAACAGAGAAAGCAGCTGAAGGACATAAACAAGGAGGGGATGCAGCACAACCCCCTCCTTCCATCGATCCATTTATTGATCAAGGTCCGGCTAAGAGAATGAAATTCTGAAAGTAAGTGCGTCCAGGGCAGATAGATTCTCTTCTTTGGGATGGGTGTATGAAAGACAAAATCTTGTATGCCATGGAAAACGTAGGGAACAGTGTAGGTGCAGCAGTTCTTTTCTTCTACCCAGCTTAGAGTTTGATTATTCTGGCAATCATGCTGCTCGTTGTATTCGATTCTCATCTAAATAGATTGAGAATTTGTGATCCCTCCCAGTTTGCAAAGCCAAGCATTATTTTGAATAGCAACGGTATATTTTCTTACAAAATTGGTTTGATCTAATCTAGTTCTCCTTTAATGGAATTGATCTGATCTAGTTCGAACATCGCAGACCGCCAAAAGTTACCTTTTTGTACAACTCATTAGCGGTTTTCAACGATTCGGTCCACATCGAACTGAATCCATAGTTGGATTGAATTAGATGGAGATAGATATATTTCGGTTATGCTTTATGAATTGTCTTAAGTATGAAAAAAAAAACAGAATTGAATTTGAACCATATCAAATAAGACAAATGAACCAAATATGTTTTTCATCCAATTCTGATCTCTATTTCTCCTTTAAGTTTAATTCAGTCATATCTCAATTTTATTTTATTCTGTACCGAATCGACCGACGCGGTTCGATTATGAAACTGAAGCTTCAACATCAGAATTACCTACTTTTAGGTCTATAAATACATTTGGCATATATCGTGATGAACCCCGAAAGAGTCTACCCGTAAGTAGGGGTAAAAATCAATATTGTATCAGTATCCCAATATCAAATACTGAAATTTTGAATATTGATAGTACCCTAAACTCAATCCCAAAATAAATTCGATTTCCCAATTCCAATCTCTCAAATTTGGTTTCGTACCGGTATATACCAAATTAGTTTTCTTCAAAATTACAAATGAAATATACAAACACAAATATTATCTCCACAAACCATTCTCAAAACATATAAAAGCAAACAATGGTGTGGTGGCAAGACTCGTGCGAAATAAATGAGAAAAATCTCAAGTATGATAACATTGCACTAGAAAAATGAGGTAAGATACCTCAAGTACCACTAAAGTATGAGAATTAGGGGAGCTATACCAATTAAGTATGAATAGTGCATCATGTGTCACTGAGCTTTATTATATGTGCATGCGGTACCACTTAAGTTTAGTGTTAAGTGCATTTAGTTAAAGTTGACAGAATATTCTAGAAATATTCAATTTTCTAAATTTCAGAATTGGTCCTTCTATTTTTCTTACTGTAAAAAATCATTTGGACTTATAAAAAACTATCATTTTTATTTTTTAGTTGGAATAAAAAAATCATTTGGACTTATGATTCTCTTTTGAAGACTCTCATACCAAACTATTTTTTAATAGGAAATTTATAATTCATTATCATTATAAATATTTTTAATTATCATTATATGTTTTAATAATTGAATTATTCCCTAAAGCAAATATATTCTATGAATTTTGTCTCGATATCAATAATCCGAGGATGTTATATTTAGGTCTCTTACATCATGCTGGTGTTTATCTAATTTTTCATGTTAAATCTCATTGTAATTCACTAATATTATATTATAGATGTTCCATATTAGTAAAATTTACTAATTCTAATTATCTTTCTATAGTCTTATTTTCTTTTCTAAATTTGTTACCGAATGTTGTAGCTTTCGGGTGCCAATTAAGTTTGAGAATTGGGGTAGACATACCACTTGTTTGTGCCCGTTTCTAGGCGCCCCTTGCTTGCTCGTCCCGTTCCTGCTGCACGCCTCCTCCCTGCACACAAAGGTGCCCTCGAGCCCCTATTGGGCTCGTTAGCACTCCAACGCCCAAGTCAGATCCACTTTTAGAGAGAGAGAAGTGAATAGTGATTTTAGAGAGAGAAACCAACATGAGTAAATGAGCTCCACACACTTCACTATTTATACCCAGAGTAGGGCCGACCATTACCCCCCAAATCCGCCCCACGTCATCACACCATTAAATGCATCGTACCTCTCTCTTGCCAGGCGCCCTGACATTCTGACACACTGCCCCAAGACCTGAGGCGCACGGCCCCACTCCTTGTCCCCTCCATACGCTTCTGACCGTTGTCCCTCGTTTGTCATCATGTGCCATTCGTCAGGCCTCGACCCACCGCCCAGGTTACAGCCTTGGGCTTCCCTTCTGGTTGGGCTTTCCCCTTGATGGGCCTGCACTCCAAATCCCCGTTGGCCCTTTTGGGCTTCCCTCTTGGGCCTTTATGTGCCCCCAACAATTGCCCCCCAGTTAGGCGCCTACCACTTGGTGGGGGCCTAACTTCCCTAGGGGTGCCACTAAAGCCCTCATGCGTGCCTTCCACCCTTCCTCTCGAAAGTGCGCGCTTTACTTACAGATTATTCCCCCAGCGTGCGCCCTTCCGCTGGCTTCCTCCACCCGCGTTTCGACACCCTCATGTTGCTATCCCATGCTGCTGTGATCGAGCGCCCCGATCACCTCAACACCAACTGGCCCCTACGCACCATGGCCAACCTCTCCGTGCAGGTAAGGCGCCCTGTCATTCGTCTCTTAGGTGATTTGTTTTTCCTGATTATTCGCAAGTCTAACTGACCCTTTGCTACGCTGTGTGTACACCAGATGATGATACTGATCGAGTCCACCGCGCGTGAGTTCGATCGGATGGTCAGAGAGAGCGCAACATCCGACAAAACCGCTGAGCGCCTGCGTGACGAGTTGGCCGCCGCCCGCGAGGTGGACGAGTCCCTTGCCAATGCCCGGGACGAGGTGCAGAAGGAGGCCCAGGCTTGGGCTGCCAAGTTATCAACCAGCCTGGAGGTGGAGCGGGAAAAGATAAATGCGGCCGTAGAGAAAACGTGATGAGAGCGCTACGAGCGCAAGTCGCTGCAACCCAAACGGAGATGGCGGAGGTGGAGCGAGGCATGCATGAGAGGAAGGCTGAGTTGGTGGGGGAGCGCGACAAGCTCCATGAGAAGGCGGATGGACTCCGCAATAAGTCGCGCATGGTGTCGAAAGAGTTCAAGAGGGCACGGAAGTCGAAGGAGCAATACAAGAAGGAACTAAAGGCGTCCCAAGCCGCTCCCGCTCCGCTTCTTCCTCTTACCTGCCGCAATCTTCTCCCAGCAATCTACACATTTCTCATCATCCTCTACTTCTAATTACTGAGGACAACCTTACCGGCTCTCGTCCACATTTCAAACTTCACTATGTGTGAGAGAGAGAGATGCAGAGAGGGGAAATTGGAGAGAGCGGCGGAGAGGAGATGGCAATGGCGGCAACAAGCACTGATCCGACGGTGTCTTGATGGTGGAACCCGACACTTCCGGCTTCCCCTCGGACGAGGTAGTAGCTCGGACTCTAAAGAAGGACAACGCAATAGACAAGTCTGATTGGACTGCCAAAAGGCTAAATTACACGTTTGGTCACTCAAATTACATAAATCTTTCACGTTCGCCACCCGAATTACTTTTCTTTCATATTCGCCACTAACTTTATGATTCGTTTCACCGTTAGTCAGTCACCGGCCATCAGTCTTCGTTAACTCCGTCATTTTTTTATGACATGGCAAACAGAACAGCTGACTGGACCGTTAAATAATGACATGTCAATTTTTTTTAAAAAAACAAAAATAATTAGACAATATTCAGGTCCCCCCTTCCCCTCCCTCCTCTCCTTCGCCTTCCCCACCGTCGATCTCAGCGTTCATCTCGCTGCCGGATTAGAACCCGGTTCCTTGCACCAACTGATCCCACCGCCGCCGGATGCGGGGTAATTCCTCTTCGCCTAGTCGGCGGCCTCCCAACTTCCCGTTCCTTCCTTGGACCAAATCCGCCGTAAAAGCCCAATTCATTTGGGTTGAGTATGGAGAGCGAGATGGCAATTCAGGTTTTGGCTCGCGATCCCCATTCTTTCCCTTTCTACTTGGCAGCCCTAGCTTATGGTACTACTGTGGAGTGATCGGTGATGGAAGGAAGCTTGTTTCTGAAGTTGTCAACAAAGTAGTGCTGATGAACCTGACTTCCTCTGTTGTTGCTGCTAACTTGTTCGTGCACAGATGCATACACCATCTTTTTGCTCTTGATCTTCTTCATCATGATGGGGGAAGAAGCAATGCTACAAAGGTGATGGTTCATCGATCAGCAACGAGACAATGAACAATAACTGTAAAGGAGATGGGAATAGGAGCTTCATCGTGGGGGTGAATTAATTAATGGGTATAGTAGTGAGATTTGAGAGATGGTTATGGGAGTTTTGAGTGGTGGCGTGGGTAATGGACAGGGGTGTATGATTATATTATATTATATTATATTATATAGGCGGAGGAATACTCTAGTAAAGTAGTAGCTATGGTGGTGGGAGATGAAGACTCCACCTTTGGTAGTGAATCGGTGTAGTATCCCATTCCAATTCGAGAAGAACATTTACTGGAGGAGATTATCATGAATCACTGCCGCGGATTGCAGTGGAGGGCACAACAGAGTTGGCCTCCCTCATCGTCGACGTTGTATCAGAGCTGGTCCGAGGAAGGAACGGGAAGTTGGGAGGTCGCCGATTCGGTGAATTGAATGGTCAATGGTCCCCAGCGAAGAGGATTTACCCCACATCCGACGACGACGGTGGGAAAGGTCAGTTGATGCTTCAGCAGAGCGGGGAGTCTTGCCCTAATCTAGCTGCGAGACCAACGTTGAGATCGACGGCGATGAGACCGACAATGGGGAAGACGAAGAAGACGAGGGAGGGGTAGGTGGGGCCTGATTTTTGTCTAATTATTATTATTATTTTAAATTGACATGTAATTATTTAACGGTCCAGTCAGCTTTTTCGTTTGCCACGTCATCAAAAAACTGACGAAGTCTGACGGCCGGTGACTAACGGTGAAACGAATCGTTAAGTTAATGTCGAATATGAAAGAAAAGTAATTTGGGTGGCAAACGTGAAAGATTTATGTAATTTGAGTGATCAAACGTGTAATTTAGCCGTTGCCAAAATATAGAATTCTCTGTCGTTTGCTCTTCATGTTCTTGTTTTTCGGAGGGAAATCTTTCCAAATGATTATTGTAACTAGGGGTGGGATTCGGTCGGTAAACAATTTACCGTTTACCGAATTTACCGGTTTCGGTATATCGAAGTTGGCCAAACTGGTTACCGATACCGGTTTACCGATTATTGGTAAACGGTTACAAACTGGTATTACCGAAAAACCGTGAGAAGCGATTTCGGGTAGTTTTTCGGTCGGTTTACCGAATATTTACCGAACCGAATTTCTGGAAGTGGGGTGGTGTTGTAATATTTTGATTTTTTTGAGTTTTTTTCATCATTTTTATAATTAATAATTTATTATTAACTCTTATTTACAATATTTTTGAGGCCTATACTTACATTCATGTATGTAATATTTTATATGTTTGGGGGTAAAGCAACAGAACGCAGCGCATCATTAGGGAGTAGGGAGGGGGGATTCGGTATCGGTAATACTGATTTACCGTCGATATTTACCGATACCGTGTCCGGTAAACTGACTCCCCCAACTCCCCGCTCGGCTGCCGATACCGCCGGTAAACGGTTTAATCGTTTACCGTCGTTTACCGGATTACAGTTTACCACCCCTAACAGACCTAGTATTTTTATCGAAATAGAGGTACGACACGACACGATGTTATGTGAATTAATCATTCACTTCTCTTAATGCGTTAATATTACAATCATTGTTATAATATGATTGGTCAACCGTTATCTCTAACGGTCAACGAAACCACCATGATACAAATGACACAAAGTATCATAGTTTACGACGTAAATGAAAGATTTGATACAATAGGACACAAGTTGCATTTTTTTCAATAATTTGGGTGTTGTAGTGGCCAAAGAAGAAGACTATTATAATCAAGTAGTGGGGAAAGGGTTGGGGGATTGGGAGTGGGAGATACCCCCTCTCGTCGTCTTTAAGCACCAAGTCCAAGATGGCTCCTTGTTTAATTTAATTTTATCTTCATTCTTTAAATCTTTAAAATCATCTAAATTAGGAAATACACTAAATGGTTATTACAATAATTCTCATTCAAAATGAATTACATATATAGTATTATTTTAATTAGTAGAGTTAGACATGATATGTAACTCAAACATTATTACAACTACATGGTTTACAAAAAAAAACTAGAAGAGGGATTCAATTGTCAATAAAGAAAGGAGACATTGGTGAAAAATAATTTTAATTACCAGTCATAATCTAAATCTCAAAATTTTAGAATATTAGGGATGAAAAGATAAAATTAGAAGACCGGAAGTAGTAGGATTGATTATCATAATAATAAATAAAATAACTTTGTCAAAATAAATTCCCATATATTTTGGTCTCCAAAATATATTAATGCTCTAAGCAAATTGATCGATTAATTAAAAAAAAAAGTGTGTTAGTCTTCGATTTTGTTGAGAAAATATGCACTCAAATAAAAAAATTACCAAATTGTAATGACTTGTAAATTTTGGGATAAGATATGCCAACAGGGATTTATATTAAACCTTTATTAAAATAATTATCGTTCAACATGAATTATATATAACCTTTTTTTACTAGTAGAAGAAAATTAGAAATGATATGTAATTCAAACGTTGTATAAATTGCAAACAAAAGGAAACAAAAAGGCCGATTAAAAACTTGAAGTATCAAATTGTAAGACTGGTAATTTTTGGGATGAAATTTGATAAAATTGTAAAATGAAAATGTATTTAAAACCGACAATTCCCAGCCTCGAACCCGTGATCTTCCTTTTCCCATAGCATCAGTTGACCACTATACTACAGATGCCCTCTTTAAATTTTAGGGGGCGCCATGGCCCCGCTACAATGCTGGCTCTGTCGCTGCTTGGGGTGCTGTCGATAGCTCATATATGTATATTATTATTCATGCATTGATGAGAATGCATCAATCTAACTATTACCAAATCCAAACGAGCTCGAAATTTGAGCATAGTGTAACTATGTAAGTTATTTAAAGTTAATACTTTCGTCGTCATGTACAAATTAAAACGGGTTATTTCAAATGTTATAAACTAAAAATAGTCTTGATATGATTTTTAGCGCAGATTCCAATAAAAAAATTTCTACTTGTTAAAAATTTCAACTAACCGTAATTAATTTTCTCAAAAATTTCAACCACCCTTCTTTACTTCCTCACCCCTCCATCCTTATTATATATATGTATACACTTTTTTTTGTTGATAATTCGTTATATATGGACACTTGTATATACATGCATGCATGACTTATTAACTATGTACGTTATAACCCGCTTGAATTGTTGTTCCCAAAAATAATAATTATTGAAACAATAGAGTAGTTATACATAACGCTTCCTTTTGAGTGAAAGTCAACAGAAGTTAGCTGTCACATCAGCTAGAGATAAAAAAATCTTATGATCCGAAAAATTAGAAAGTATAAGCACGAAATTCGATCTAAGCGAAATTCGATGAAAGGATAGTTGGATGCATGTCAAAAGAAAAGCGAATGCGGCAACACATGTTATGGGTCGTAATGAAACAAAGCGGAAGTTTGGTTGATTACACCGTCAATATTTTCATCCGATTAATTTAGGCTGAAGTCCGAACGATGTAACATTTCCTTCCAGTCCGAAAAAAGACCAAGAAAAGTTGACAGGGAATTGAAAAGTAATTATTTGATTTGAAACTGGTGTCTCTGGTTATTTATTCCTCCGGCGGATCCATATTTTCAGTTGCCTTGTTCGAGTTGTTTGGCGTTGCGGCAAATGCAGCCAACCAAAGGGGAACATACATAATTGGGGTCTCCACCCTTGCAATCTGCGTTAGTTTTGCAGGGTATGCTTGGACAGATTAGGTTCACCTCTCTGGCTTCAGCTCCAATGTTCTTCTTCTTCCCACCTGTAAAACCCAATTTTTTTTTTCATTACTAGTTTGGATGATGACTTAACTGAGAAAACTCCCGCTCGATTTGTTTTTTATTTTTATTTTAAAAAATCGTTTGTGATGTCATGCACAATTATACGATGATATACGTACCCGAAATAGCAAAAGCCAAAAGCACGAGGCAGAACAACGTCAAATAAGCCCTCTTCGTCATACTTGGAAATATTTATTCACTTGACTCAACTTACTCGCTCCTTGGTCTTCAGTATGAAATCCTAAGTGCAAGAATGAGATACTTGCTGATCAATCTCCTCTTCTACCCTTATATAGGAAGAGAATAGGGGGATAGGATAGTAGGGTTTGTAGTACTATGTTGGTCATTTGGTCTTTTCCTCTTTTGAAAGGTGGTACATGACTTTTCATTTTATTTCAAAAAACTTTATTTAATTTTCTCAGTAAATGATTTCCAAAATAGAAAGACCAACTTTTATAGTACGGGTAAATTATAAGGTTGGTTACTGAGTTTACTAAAAAGATTCGTGTTTGGTCACTATAAATATTTAATTCCGTTCGTGGTCACTGAAATTAGTTCAACGGTTCAAGTATGGTCACTCTCCGTCCAATTCCGTTAACTTTGTCTGATGTGGCAGTCAACCCTAAAATTTGATCGTTAAATAAGTGATGTGGCAAATAAAAAATAATAAAATAAATAAAATTTTATTTTATTACAATTCCACCTCATTTTCACAAGAAAAATTATAAATACCAAAGCATCTTCGTTGACCACTATAGTCTATAGATCCCCAACTTCCATTTCCCAATCACCACGAAAACTCAAACACCACCGCAAAATCGACCCTACCCGGAGACCATTCAGCTGCGAGAACATAGCAAACCAAAAATTCCAAGCATTCGGAGCTTGAAAAAGAAGAGATCCAACATAGAATGTGTAAATAATTGGGAGAGTGCTCGACGTCGTGCTCAGCAGCAGGTGGAGAGTGCTCGACCGCGGAGATCAGAAGAGATTTCTCACTCTAATTAGTTATTATAACTATTTTTTGTATGCACTTTAGACAAATAACATCGATTTACATTTTATAAGTACACGAAACCAAACATCTCCCCGAAAATTATATTGTATTCCATTTATAGCGATTCATTGGTCCTCTCAATCGTATGCTAATGTATGTGACACCTAAATGAACCTATGCCAAACAAAAAGGGTGACACCTAAATCCACAAGAATGCAGTGACAATGGCCATAGCAAGCAACTGAAAGAGCAAGTCTATAGACTTTATTGTTTTAGATTTGATGAAATGGTGGTTTGGGAAGATTCACTTATGAGGAGCCTGATAAAGAAAGAACAAGAAGAAGAACGATCAGAGATATACAGAAGTTACAAAGGAAAATGAAAGGGAAAGAAAGGATGGAGATATTCGCTTACAGTCATAGTTATTAGTTGACACATCCCAATCCGTTTAACGCTCCAAAATCCAAATTGTACACAAAAATCTTGTCTTTCAAACAAGATCTGGACATGAATGCAAATGACAACCAAATCGGACCTATTAAACAAATGACAATCAAAGAGAACAATCGGGCGAATCCCAGAGGAAACCACATCACAATTTTGAGACTTCAATAAAACAGAGTAACTATTAAACCATAAGAAAACCCAAAGAAACACACCCGTAGAGAGACGGACATGCCTCGCTCGATCCTAGCTCTATAGTGCTCCACAAAAACCACCGAGGAATTAAGAGGAACCATCCTCTCTAAATAGAGAACAATATCTGTCGGTGAAGATCGACATTGGCAAGAATCACCTGTTGCATGGGGCTTGAAAGTTTCTACTCAACAAAACGGTGTCGCTCCATATATCGCTCCCTGCATGGTTAGAACGGTGCCGCATCATCAAGCCAAGTATCGTCCTTCGCAAGTGTTCCTTCTTTCTCGAGCTTTTCATTTCTCAGACCTCCGCTCCCCACACCAGAATCCAGGTCGCCGACCATCACCTCTACTCCTTGCAATGATGGCCACTACAATATAAGGAACACGTCTGCTATTCAAACGGTCACTTTGTGATCGCGTGTATATAGAAGTCAAATGAGTCATTAGATGTGTGACTGTTGTGAGAAAGTGAGATTGGGGAATCTGCTTTGTTTGTCACCGGTCCTTTCTTGATCTAACTTCAGTAGATCAATCATAGGGTGTGTAAACCGGGTGATTGATTCTTGGGAAGTGAGGGTTTGAGTGTTGTGTTTTCTTTTTTCAAAGAGCCAAGCTTCTTGGCTTGGCTTGGGTTCTTGCTTTTTATGCAGTGTGTAATCTTTCGAAATCAATAAAAGCACATTTTTTCCTTTCACTCTGATTCTACAATTGGTATCAGAGCTTGCTCTTTGAAGGATTAATCATCGCCAAAGAGTACTGTTTATAATGTCAGGATCCTCGTCAGCTGCAGTCTCCTATTCTGCGAATACGAATCCGCCATGGTTCGATGGAACAGACTACACAGTCTGGAAAAAGAGAATGATGATCTATCTTTGCGGAGTTGATGGGGAGCTATGGGTAGTTGTACGAAAAGGACCTATTCCTATGGATGAGGAAGATGAAGAAGAGTGGAAAGAAGAACAGAAGATATCATCTCAGCTCGATTCACGAGCTATGCACATACTGTTTTCAGCACTTTGCCCTGAGGAACGGAGTCAGGTTGCGCAATGTGAGTCAGCCTGAGAGATTTGGGAGTCTCTTCAGACAACCCATGAAGGTACGTCTGAAGTAAAAGAAAGTAGAATTGATGTCCTGTTAAATGAATATGAATCATTCGAAATGAGCTCAGGAGAATCAATATCTAGAATGTACAAACGGTTTAATGATCTGATCAATAGATTAAAAGGTCTAGGAAAACTGTTTGAAACAAAGGATTTAGTTCGCAAAATCTTAAGGTGTCTACCCAGGGAATGGTTACCTAAGCGAACTGCTATTGAGGAGGCTAAAGATTTGAACACATTATCTATTGAGAGGCTTGTTGGATCTTTGCTTAGCCATGAAGAAGTAATAATACAAATGAATAAAGATGATCATAGACGAAGGAAAGTTATTGCATTCAAGGCTCAAGAATATGATAGTGATTCTGATGCATATATGGGAGAGGAATTTGAAAAGGAATTTGCTCTTGTAAGTATAGGTGTCAATCGGGCGGGTTCGGGCGGGTTCGGGCTGGGTTCAATCAGGTTCGGGTTCAAACGAGTTGCGGGTTAGTCGGGTTGCGGGTTCATCGGGTTCGGGTTCAAACGGGTTGCGGGTTAGTCGGGTTGCGGGTTCATCGGGTTCGGATTCAATCGGGTTGCGGGTTCATCGGGTTTTGGGTCGGGCGGGTTGCGGGCGGGTCGGGTTTCGGGTTGTTCGGGCCAGCGCATCAAGTGACTTAACTCATTACTCATTACCAACTTACACATTTTATTACACTCATTTAAAATATTTTCTCAACTTTTTAACCAATTTATTTCTACCTCGTATATATATACTTTATTTTTTTTGAAAAAAAACTAGTCAAAATGTTAAATCAATTTGTATGACTTGCAAACTTGTTATGTAATTAATCATAATTGGTAAAGTATTATAGCTAATAGTAATGGTGATATCAATATTTGCAACCAAAAGATACAGTTGATTGTTTATTTGATATTTTAGTATTAATTCAGTAGTAATTGGATTAAAGTATCTCGTTTAGTATAACCATGCAAATCTGGTATTTGGCGTGTGGTATTTGGCAAAAGTATAGTGATAAAATGAGTTATTTCAAAATAACTCATTGCCCAAATAACTTTAGTAAACTGTTGCCAAACGAGTTATATGTAAAATTGTTCGAATTATCCTAAAGATTGAACCATTAAAGATTAGCTATCAAAGTTAGTAAAATTATTGTGACTTCAATCATAACTTACTCAATAGCATATATCCTATACACTTAGCTTTACCCTCAATCAACAATCTCAATCAACAATATTAAGTTAGTATATGTTGTTGATTGTATACCCTAAACTATCAATACATTATACACTAACCACATAACCTATACCCTAACCATATGTCCTTGAGTTGTGATTTTGATAGTATAGTTAATTTAAAAGTGAAATTCATACTTTGATTTTCAAAACATAGATAAAAAGTGATATTTGCTAATTGTTATACCCTAACCATATATCCTATACTTTACGCCACATACCTTGTACCCTAACCACGTACCATAAACATAAATTAAAAAGGGATCTCCTGCCGTTAAAGACTTAAAATGACTTCAAGTGAACATATGTTAATAAAAAACTTAGAACCATCAAAACCATCAATATCTTATACCCTAACCATATACACTCTAAACCATATGTACCTTATACCTTATACCCTAACCATATACTTTATATCCTAAACAACGAACCGTCAAAGATTACTTATCAAGTTTGGTATAAATTGTTGTAACTAATGGTTAATTTATTTATTAGACCATAAAAAATTACATACATATATATATATATTAGCCTTCAAAGCATATAAGAATAATTTTAACTAGTCATGCCTTCCATATAAAAGTTAAAGATTCATATTTCAAAAGCTAAAATTATGAAAAACCAAAAAATTGAAAACACCAAATTTGTTTCCTTCTTTCTTTTCACAAAAATACTAAAATTTCACTCCTTCTTTCTCCTTCCATACATTAGAAAAACTCAATTTTCCCTCATCTTTCTTTTTCATAAAATTGAAAGAACCAAATTACCCTCTTCTTTCCTTCTACAAAAAGTTGAAAAGTCAAAAGTTTCCCTCCTTATTTCTCTTTCATAACCAAAAGAATCAAATTTTCCCACTTCTTTCTCTTCCCGCATATCAAAACCACCAAAATTCTCACTTGTTTCTTTTCTAAAAAATTCAAAGAACCAAATTTCCCTCTTCTTTCTCTTCCCAAAAACTTGAATACACAAAAATTTCCCTCTTCTTTTAAAAACATCAAATTACCAAATACATTACTTTACTTTATTTATATTTAATTGATAATTTTATTGAATAGTTAAATTAACCAATATTTTAATTTATATATTATATTAATATTGTCATGATCTCAAGTGACCTTCATGTTTCAATTTTTGTCATTTTCTTAAAATACGTAATATCAAGTGAGTTTCATATTTTAAAAATTTCTTATACGAAATGAAAAAATAATTTTTCTTAAGTTTAGAATGAAAAACTTCATTTTGAAAAACTATGTATTGTATATTTTTATAATTATTCATGTGGATTAGATGAAATTCGGGTTGAGTCGGTCGGGTTACGGGTTAGTCGGGTTCGGGTCAATCGGGTTCGGGTTAATCAGGTTGCGGGTCAGTCGGGTTGCGGGTCAATCGGGTTCGGGTTAATCGGGTTGCGGGTTAGTCGAGTTGCGGGTTAGTTGGGTTGCGGGTCAATCGGGTTGTGGGTCGGGCGGGTTACGGGTTGTTGACTTTTAGTCAATTCGGGTTGCGGTCGGGTTGCGGGTGGGGTTGATCGGGCGGATTAATCGGTTCGGGCTGTGTTTTGCCACCTATACTTGTAAGTAAGAAGTTTCATCGAATGCTTAAAATGAAAAAGGACTTCAAAGCAAAGAGAGCATATGGTGATTCTAGACATTTTAATAGTCAGTTCCCTGAACCTAGAAAGGACAATGAAGAAATTGAGAGAATCCCTACCAAAACAAACGAAAGATATGTATCATATAGACCATACCTAGATAAAAGCACTCCGAGGTCATATGATAGATCCTCTGATGGTCGAGAAAGGTTCAAAATTGATAAGGAAGACCACAGGTCTTCCAATGAAAAAGATCTAACTGTTTGTTATAAGTGTGGTAAGACAGGGCATATCATATCAAAGTGTCCTACAGGAAGCAAAGCTAAGGAGAAGGCACTAGCTGCATCTTGGAGTGACCTCAGCTCGGAAGAGGAGCATGAGATAAAAGACTTAGCCTACATGGCGTTTGCAACCAACAGTGAACATAGTTATCAATCCTCAAGCAGCAATGATCAGTTAACACCTTCATGCCATCAGGTAATCATTGATTCTGAATCAGATGAAAACAATAATGAAGACACTGTTTTAAAGTCAAAAACTGATTTTCTTAATGCTCTAACAAACTTACAAGAAGAATGTAAAAGACTTAAGAGCAAGTACTGTCTACTCATGACTGACAATCAGGGATTAAAAAGGGATATACTTAAGTCTAAATAAGTCAATTAAGTGTCAAAATGAAGAACATAGAAGGCTGAATAAGCTAATATTTGAGCTCACAGATGAAAATCAACGACTAAATAAACAACTTAAAGCAAAATCAGGTCTACAGAAGTCTAATATATTCAGAACAAAACAAACTCCAAATAGTTCTTCTCAAAAATATTTTTCTAACCGAAAATACCCTATCATCTATACATGTACTTACTGCAAAAGAAGAGGCCACTTTGCAAAATTCTGTTATGATTTACAAGATCTGAGGAAACCTGGTACATCCAAAACATTTTGGGTACCAAAATGTACTAACCTGTGATTGATTACAGTGTTTGGGAGAAAATGAGAACATCTGATTTCTGGACAGTGGTTGCTCCCACCACATGACAGATAAAAAGGAATTGTTTTCTTCTTTAAAATATAAAAAGGGGGGTAAGGTAGTGTTTGGAGATGATCGGGTTGGATTAATAATGGGAAGTGGAACTATTGGTAAGAACCCTCTCCCCACCATCAGTGATGTGTTATTCGTTAATGGCTTAAAACACAATCTTCTCTCTATCAGTCAATTGTGTTCAAATGAAAACAGAGTAATATTTGAATCAGAAACATGCCAAATCATCAGAATAAAAGATAATAAACTGCTATTCAGTGGAACCAAGAAAAATAATATATATGTTGTAAATCTGAATTGTCTAAAGACCTTTAATGAGACATGTTTTCAAGCCAGCATGTGTGATACTGAAATGCTTTGGCATAGAAAATTAGGACACGTGTCCTTGCCCAAACTGTCCAAAATGAAATCTGCTAGGGGAATACCTACTTTAAAAGGAAATTTCAAGTTCTTCTGCGATGCTTGTGTCGGAGGTAAGTTAGCTAAGAAACGTTTTAAGTCCAAAAAGGACATAACTACCTCTGCCCCTTATGAACTCATTCATATGAATTTATTTGGACCAACTAATGTGACTAGTCTTGGAGGAAAATCCTATGGTTTTGTGTTAGTTGATGATTTCTCTAGGTATACATGGGTCTATCTACTTGCATCAAAAGATGAAGCTTTTAGTTACTTCAGGATGTTTGTAAATCGTATACTAAATGAGTCTGAGATAGGAATCAAATCCATTCGAAGTGACAATGGAGGAGAATTTATATCAGATCAGTTTGGGGAGCTATGTGATGAAAGAGGAATTAACCACACATTTTCTGCACCTAGAACACCACAACAAAATGGTGTAGTAGAAAGAAAAAATAGAACCATAATCGAAACTACTAGAACAATGTTGTTGGAATATGGGACACCTAAAACGTTCTGGGGAGAAGCTGTAATGACAGCAGTTTATGTAATCAACAGGGTACTTATTCGAAAAACTATAAATAAGACTCCATATGAAATCTTTAAGCAAAAGACACCAAATGTAAGTTGCTTTCATCCATTTGGTTGTAAATGCTTCATCCTGAATACAAAGGATCATCTCTCAAAATTCGATGCTAAGTCAGATCAAGCTACATTTCTTGGATATTCAACCAAAGGTCAAGCATATAGAGTGTATAATCATAGATCCAAAAGAGTTGAGGAGTCTGTGTTTGTAAAATTTGATGAAACAATGGGGACTAACAAGGGTTCTGCCGAAAGCATAGATTTCCTGTTTCCTGTTTCTACAGAAGAAACAAACTCGGGAGGAATAGAAGCTCCTGAAGAACATCATACTAGCAAGTGTGAACCGGTGACTGAAGTAGAAGAAGAAAAGGAGGCTCCTGCACACATTCAAAAACGACATCCTCCATCTCAGATCATTGGTCAACTCAAGGATGGCATCCACACCAGAGGTAAGTATCAACCAGGTCAGTATGCTCTTGTGTCTCTACTAGAACCTAGGAATTATAAGGAAGCGATCACTGATGATGAATGGTTGAACGCTATGCAAGAAGAATTACTTCAATTTGCTAGATTGCATGTGTGGGAACTTGTTCCACGTCCAATAGACTGTTTAATCATAGGAACAAAATGGGTTTTCAGAAATAAAACTGATGAAGAAGGTGCAGTAGTTAAAAACAAAGCCAGACTAGTAGCACAAGGTTACCTGTAGGAAGAAGGAATTGACTTTGAAGAATCTTTTGCACCTGTTGCGCGAATTGAATCCATTAGAATGCTCTGTGCATATGCATGTTATATGAAAATTCCTCTATACCAGATGGATGTAAAGAGTGCCTTTTTAAATGGAGAGATAAAAGAAGAAGTGTATGTTAGTCAACCTCCTGGCTTCATTGATTATAAAAATCCAGACCATGCGTACAAATTATCAAAGGCCTTATATGGACTAAAACAAGCACCTAGGGCATGGTATGAAAAACTCTCCACATTCTTGAAGAATGAAGGTTTCTGTCAAGGAAATGTTGACAAAACCTTGTTCATTAAAAGAGAAGACTCACATACTCTAATAGTGCAAATATATGTTGACGACATAGTGTTTGGTGCAACAAACCCCTCCATGTGCACAAAGTTTTGTGAAAGTATGAAATCAGAATTTGAAATGAGCATGATGGGAGAATTATCCCATTTTCTAGGCTTACAAATCAAGCAAACTAAATCTGGAATTTTCATTAATCAGTCAAGTTACATTGAAGCTATGCTTAAGAAATTTGATATGAACTCTGTGAATGAAAGTTTGACTCCAATGGCCACAAACCTAAAGCTAGACAAAGATGAAGGAAGAACAGCAGTATGTGAAAAGAAATACCGAGGTATGATTGGTTCTCTTCTTTATTTAACAGCTAGTAGACCATATATTCAGTTTATTGTTGGATTGTGTGCTAGATTTCAATCAAATCCTAAAGAAAGTCACCTCAAAGCAGTAAAACGAATTTTCAGATATCTCAAGGGAACAACAAATGTGGGTTTGTGGTATCCAATCTCTGATTCATTTGAACTAATAGGCTATAGTGATTCATATTTTGGAGGAAGTCTGGTAGATAGAAAAAGCACCTCAGGAACTGTACAGTTCCTAGGACCTGCTTTAGTCTCGTGGTTTAGTAAAAAGCAGGGGGCAATTGCACTCTCAACCGCAGAGGCTGAGTATATGGCAGCTGGAAGCTGCTGTGCTCAGATTATGTGGATGAAAGCACAACTTTCAGATTATGGCTTTAAATTAAGCAATATTCAGGTGTGTTGTGACAACACTAGTGCAATTTGCATGACAAAGAACCCTGTTCAACACTCTAGGACAAAACACATTGAGATAAAATATCATTTCATTAGAGATCTAGTACAAGCAGGCCATATTTGCTTACAATTCGTTTCTACCGAGTCACAATTAGCTGATTTATTCACAAAACCCTTATCCAGTGAAGTGAACGTTTCCTCCAACTTTGCACAGAGATTGGGCTCAAATCCTCAACTCATATTAAAAATCTTACAAACTAAAGACTCATTGGGCCTTTTTTGCTCTAGGCATTTTGCGTGTCTCGGGTAATTCATAAACTTTTCTTTTCAGCTCATGCTTGTGTTGTTCCAAGACAACGTCATGCATGCTACAAACTAATCATTACACTTTTACCTTCCCTTTATTCTAAGAGAGACTCTTCCTCTTCTCCTTTACCCGACGTTTTCTGCCTATATAAGAAGTACTCCTGGTCTTACCCTCCTCACTGTTCCAGTAGCTCTAAAACACCAACCAAAACTTCGAAAGCTTTTGAGCATTTCCAAACATGAGTGATTGCCTTCCTCGCCCCTTTCGATTCGATGGTCTCGTTCACACCTTCTCTGGATATATGTTCCATGAGCCAAGGGTGCTGAATCATCATCGGTATCTTCAACATTTCGACAAAAGGAGGATCCATCACATTACTGAGCTTGATCCTTACGAATTCAATGTCTACAAGTATGACATTGTTTCTCTTATCGAAGGACTTGGATTGGATTTTCTCCTCAGAAAACCCCTTCACCCTGCATGTCCCGGAGCAGTGAAATACTTCTTCTGGAATCTGCAAAGTCAGGGAATAAGCTCAAGGAGCTTTACTACACTGGTTTATGGTCACCTGCTGACCATACTAGTCGATGCTCTCAACGGCATACTCGGGTTTCCTTCTCAAGGGCTTGGAATAGCTCATCCTTCTGAATTCTGGAAGCACGAATTCAAGATTGAAGTAGAATACAGCAACTTCTCCACCGAGCCAACTGGTGGATCTGACGTACCAATCCCTGCAGCCTGGTTACCTCCTCGGCTGCGAATCTTTCACTATTTCCTTACTCATGTCTTCTTCCCTCGGTCCTTCAACCAGGATCGAGTTCTTCATATGGATCTATGGATTATCTCAAGTGCAACAGCAAGGCGAAAGCTTGATTTCGCAAGTGTTATGTTCGGCCAGCTCCTCCCTGTGGCTGATGAACACTATAAGGGGCTCCTACCTTTTGCCTCCATCATAACCAAATTACTAATCAACCTAGGTGTTGATCTATCTTAATTCCGAAGTGTCTCCTCCACCATGTTTGTTAGTGCACTCAATGTGCTCATGGTACTTGATCTTCCAACAGACATTCCTCCTCCTCCTCATCCTTCATCCTCTCTTCTAAGCCCCCCTCCTAAACCTTCCTTTGTCAAGAAGGCAAAGTCTGCTGGTGAAGCCAGCAAACCTGGTGACCTTGTGTTCACTATTTCTGAAGGGAGCTCTTCCTCTGATGATTCTGCTGCTTCTGCTCATCCCTCCTAATCTTCTTTCCTCATGTTTTAGTTAGGTAGTTGAGCATATTTTGTTTCTCCTGTCATGTCTTCAGGATGGTGCTTTGTTAAGGGGGGATTGAGTTCTAGTAGTTTAGGTGCTTTTGTGTAGGGGGGAGATCCTTCCCAGTCTTTTGTAAAGCTCAAATCCCCCAGATGCTCCTACTGTACCCATGCTGTTTCATTAAATGCAACTGTGTTTGTTTTTGGAATCGTTCTCTGCTGGGTTTCTTTCTCTTTTTGCAGGAATCTTCACACTTCTTGGACGAAGGGGGAAATTGTTGCATGGGGCTTGAAGGTTTCTACTCAACAAAACGGTGTCGCTCCATATATCGCTCCCTGCATGGTCAGAACGGTGCCGCATCATCAAGCCAAGTATCGTCCTTCGCAAGTGTTCCTTCTTTCTCGAGCTTTTCATTTCTCATACCTCCGCTCCCCACACCAGAATCCAGGTCGCCGACCATCACCTCTACTCCTTGCAATGATGGCCACTACAATATAGGGAACGGGTCTGCTATTCAAACGGTCACTTTGTGATCGCGTCTATATATAGAAGTCAAATGAGTCATTAGATGTGTGACTGTTGTGAGAAAGTGAGATTGGGGAATCTGCTTTGTTTGTCACCGGTCCTTTCTTGATCTAACTTCAGTAGATCAATCATAGGGTGTGTAAACCGGGTGATTGATTCTTGGGAAGTGAGGGTTTGAGTGTTGTGTTTTCTTTTTTCAAAGAGCCAAGCTTCTTGGCTTGGCTAGGGTTCTTGCTTTATGCAGTGTGTAATCTTTCGAAATCAATAAAAGCACATTTTTTCCTTTCACTCTAATTCTACATCACCGACGTTGTGATCGGGGAAGCCAGACAAGGAGAAGTGGAAAGCCACATTTTGTCGAGGAGCAGGGGAAAAAAAGGAAAAAACAGGGGAAGCAGAGAACAGTGGATTATTTGATCCGTATACAACGATTGTACTCTACCTTGTCAAAATTTTCATGAGTCTTTTGTGCGACTCTACAGTAAGTTTTAAAATTTGACCGAATTTAAGATAAATTTCCAACTTAATACCAAATATTCGATGAATTATTTTTAGTTATTGATGGACACAATATATATTTTTAGGCCAAACATTCCAAACAAATATTCATTTTTGGTTAAGGCTATAGTAAACCAATATTAAAATTTTCATAATATATTGATGTCCACTCATTAATTAGGATTCATATATCTCATCTTGGCTATGCTTTCATGAATGTTTATAAAGTTTTTTTTTATTTTGAAATGGTGGTTTATACAATCTCAATATTAGATCTTATGTAAAGAATTATTATGTTGACTATGCCCTTGTTGGATGTTTATCACATCTTCCTCATTTTTCAAATTATGACTTATGAAGTCCCAATGTTAGAACTTAAATTAATGGTCTTATAAAATAAATAGCAATGGATGTTTTTTTTTTTATGTATGCATGATGGGCCGACCATCAACTAATGATTCATGTGTTTGGAATTACCATGCATGCAAATGAACTATCTTATACAACATGCCTCCTACTTTTGTAGTGCATATGAACGATCATGTCATTTGAACAATAAATCCATAACTCATTTCAATTTACTTGCAATTTAAACTTCATAAATTCATATAAGTATTTTAATATTTTACACGCACTTGAAAAAATCAAATAAAACATATATGAACCAATAATAAATTTTGATCCCTAAAGTAAGAACCTTATACACATTGCTTTATGAAGATATTAATGACCAATGAAATCCTATTCTTGTACTACCGTCTTGTACTTATTTATAGATCTCTTAGATAGATTTATTGCAAACAACCTTTGAGCTTCTTCTTTTTTGTTTGTTCAAATGTGTTCCTTGTGGTAATCCGTAATTGTACTTATATGATTATATATAGTAGTCACCTATTACCAATATCCTATTCAATTTCATAAAGAAATGATATTTTGTTATTTATTTGATTCAAAATAAGTATGACTGACGCATTTATTTCGTCATTTATTTTCTTCAATTATTAACCTAAAACGACAATGAAATTCAACATGCAAAGTTTATTTTTAACTTAAACAATTTAATTGTTAACATCTAACTCAGGAATTATTAATCATCTCTCTTCGAGTAATGACCTTTCCTTATTAACACCCTTCAATTATTAATAAAAATTTCGGTCCTTATTACTCATGACTTTTTTAATTAATAATCTAAAACGACATTGAAGGTTTACATGCAAAGTTCATTATTAACTTAAACACCTTAATTATTAACAACCAAGGCAAAGATTATTAATTAACCCGATCGAGTTATTAATTTAAATTGTTAACAACTGTTGCCTGTTTTATTAAACAACCCTTCCCGAGCTATTACAACACCTCGTCAAACAACGCAACCAAATATACATTAGCCAAACGAAGTACAACAACTTACCAAACATAAAGGGTCTTGGCGATTCCATGTAATCGGTAGTCTAGCAACGGCAGCCGAGAGAGACGACGACGAGAAACAAGAGAAACGAGGCGCAACGGTAGACGGAAACAAGGGGGTCACCAAACGGCGTAAACGGTGACGCGACGGTGGACGCTGGACGGAATGGTGGACGCGACGGTGGACGCAACTATGGTTCACCGAGACCAAACAACGGAAATCAAGCGTTCGGCCGGCTGCACGACATGACGACGAATTTTGTAGGATGAACGGTTTTAGGGTTGGGAGGAGACTGATTCTCATAACCCACAATAATTCAACGTCTACGTGGTTTCTCCCATTTTGATTTTAATTATTATCATTTAAATATTTTTTATATTCCTCTCTTACCCTTTAACGTATTAGGTAGGTAGTTACCCAATCATTACTAATCACTTTCTCTCTCCTTCTCCTATTGGTTGAAAGGGGTTTAAGATCTTCCTTAAGAAAGAGGCCTTAAGGAC